GCAACGAAAGCAGTGAGATTCTGCGAATGCTCGGTACTGAGGTAAGTTATTCACTGTGCTTTGAGTTATGGTTACTGACTTGCATTAGTTCGATGACATGCTGGATGAGAAGTACAAGGCTATTCAGCTGTACCCTGAAGATCTCCAGAAGCAAATCGAGGAGGTCCATGAGTGGCAATACGGCGGCATCAACAACGGTGTTTACAAGTCCGGCTTCGCAACTACTAGTGAAGCCTACGAGCGCAACGTCATCGCCCTCTTCGAAGCTCTCGACCGCGCTGAGAAGCATCTCTCTGAGCAACAAGGCCCCTACTGGTTCGGTGACAAGATTAGCGAAGTTGATATTCGACTGTTCGTCACGATTATTCGCTTCGATCCTGTCTACGTGCAACACTTCAAGTGCAACATCCGCGATATTCGCTCAGGATACCCAGCTCTGCACAAGTGGATGCGAAACTTGTACTGGAACGATCCCGCTTTCAAGGATACTACGCAGTTTGAGCATATCAAGTGGCACTATACCAGGAGTCATACTCAGATTAACCCTTTCTCTATCACGCCTGTTGGGCCATTGCCGCATATTCTGCCGCTTGACGAGGAGGTCACTGCTGCGCAGAAAAAATAGGAATAAATATTGTCAATGTGGGATAGGTAGATGAAATATGAAATATTAAATATTGAATATTATTCGCTACGGAATATGTGCATTGTTTATTATGCAATCATGAGCCGAGTTTTATTGTTGATGAAACTGAGGTGAAGCCCAATGTCTGATGTGTTTCAAGGCGCACAGTACAAGGTACCCGATATTTTAGTGGAGGCAGTGGGACGACACGACTAAATTCCATCAAGTGGAGGCTCATTCTCAGTGCGTGCAGCAGTATCAGACAGTGCACTCCAGCCAGGTCCATCCACTGTTTCTCCTCATTCTCATCCACAAACAAATCAAATCAATCAACAACAAAGTCTCAATTTTCTTTTTAGCCAACATTCACGAACTCAATGCTCACAGACAATCTATTCAACTAAGATACATGAGAATATTCTAGCATATTATACCTTCTTTGTTCTTTATATACCCAAAACAGGGTCTGACTTGTTCTATTGCCAACTGTCACTCACGCTAACAGCGCTAAGAAGTGTCTCTCACTGGACACTCAAGCCCTCGCGCTCGCTGTTCTCCCTCGTCTCCTCACCTCACCTCTCGTCTTTCTCGCCCGCTTTCGGTCTCTCCCTCTCGCAACCACGTCAAGCCACCGAAAACAACTCTCGATATCCGTACATCCCAACACCAACCCAATCCACCTCAATCATCTCCTGCGTTTTTCGCACCGTTACACACTGTCACGCTTTCCGTTAAACCGCCCGCCTTCGACATCATTCCACTAAACCCTTGGACTTCTTTCAATACTGTATTTGTACCAAGTCAATCAATATTTACCCGCTCGACGAATCAATAATTACAGTACAATCTCTCCCTCACTGGACCCTTGCTTGTTCTTGATTGGGGCTTTTCGTCTCGATAAAGCCCAGCTTTGGCTTGGCTCCACCTGTGGTTCGCCTTGTCTACCACCACCAGCAAAGCAAAGCAAAGCACAGCACAACCACAAAGTGCACCACCACCTTAGGACGTCACCTTTCTCCGCCAACCACCAACTCGCTCGACCTGATCTCTTTTTCACGCTCTTGTTCACCAAAGTCCCCTACCTCGACCGCTGCTACCGCTGCCTGAATTCACCTCACGATATTCATTCACCCCGCGTATCCTCCTCACCTGACTCACCGACCGAACGAATTGATCGTCCTACTCTCCGCACAATACTCATTCCGCTATCGCAACTTCTCGCCACGTCGTCACCCCAACAACTAATAAATTTCCTAAAAAACCACACTCTGCCCGAACTCGAAGCTGTCGTCCTTTCAGAGAATACAATTCTCTAAAGGCTACCTCGATTGCGCTCGCACGTCCACCTTGGGACACTTCATACTTCTTTATACTATACCAACCGTAACTCGAATGCGCTCATAGCGCCAACTTTTTCTTCATCATGGTAATTCGTTATGAGGCCAACTTCTTGATCTACTTGCGGGAATCGCCGTTATGTACCAAACCGCCAAGCCTCCCTCCAGCTGAAGAATGGATGGGGTGAGTAGCAATGATTTCCTGAAGTCATATTCAAGTCTCCTGACCTAGATTAGACCCCCACCTGAGCCGAATCGCACACAAACAAAGGTCCCTGGGGACCGACCTCGATCCAACGACAACCCTCTGCTTGACCAGACCAACCGTCGTCCTGGTGTTGAGAGACACATTTCAAGGAATAGTGCCAGTTTGTCTCTCCTGTGTTTCGCTCCTAGGTTCTCCATATACTGACCAGCGCGCACCTATACAGACCCTGAAGACCTCGTCTTTGCACCACCCCGAACAGCGTTTGCTTCAGCGCGAGGCAAATCATCGCTCGAAACTGACAAAACTGCCAAGGAGTCTGACGCTTCGGGGCGTTTCGGCAACTTTCGAAGTCGCAATGGAGATCTTGACGTCGACCGATTTCGCGATGGACGCAATGGCAATGGTTACCGCCGTCAAGGTGACAGCGAATCAGATGGTTGGAGTACTGTGAAGCCACGCAAGAGTTTTGGACACGAGGGTGCTGAGCGTTTCCATGGACGTATGGGAGGTAACTTCCGAGACGACAAGCGACAGCCCAGAGAACGTGACGACGCTGCTCGAGATCGCCCTGCACGAAGCTTTGACACTTTCGCCAGAGACGGAGACGATGAGGGCAGACCTCGAAACGGAATGAACAGGAACAAGTCTGAGTCGTGGTACAAGAACGAGTCTAACGCAGTCACCACTCCGGCTGTCGAAGCTACTACTCCCGACAAGCGTGAACGAATTGATCGTGCGAAGAGCTGGAGAGACCGTGATGCGATTGCCGATACTCCTGATGATCGTCACAACAATAACAGCAATAATCGCATGCATGACCGACGATGGGGACGAGACCGTGATCAACGAGTCGAGCGTGAGCCTGAATGGCTAGACGAACCTCTTGAGGAGCACCCCGAAGCTCACACGCAGCAAGATTTCCAAAAATGGATGGAAGAAATGAAGAAGGCCAAGGCTGGAATCCCTGCTGCTCCTGGCAAATCCGCGAATGTTGAGGCAGCTGAAGCCATCATCGAGGCTGAAAAGCCCCCTGTGCAATCTGCCCCAGCGGTTCAAGCTGGACCTGATAAGTTCTTCATGGCGTTTGGATCGAATGCTGGTCTGGATGCTCCTCTCGCTGAAGAAGCCAAAGAACCTGTCAACAAACCCAAGGCGACTGGCAAATCCTCCAGGTTCACGTCTTTCTTTTCGCAACCTCAGGAGGAGCCTCGAGGCAAAACGGAACCTCCTACTCCTATGACGGGACCTCCTGTCAACAGTGGTATGCCTTTTCCTCTCCCTTTTGTTGGTGGCCCAGCTCCTCCAGCAGGCGGCGAAGATGAGCGACAAGCTTTCCAGCAACTACTGGCAAAGCTTCAGAAACAGACCATGAGTGCCACACCGCCAGGATTGCCTGCGTTTGCTGCCCCCCAAGGTACGCCGCCCAATGCTGGTAGGCCAAATGCTATCACCTCTCCAGAATCTCCTTTCCAGCAATATGGTCCCGATCGACGAATGGACGGTCCTCTTGGCCGAGCCCCGCCTCAGCATGTTCAAGAGATTCTTGCACCTCGACCCCAGCCACAAGCTGCTCGCCCCGAGCAACTTCTCCAGGATCTCGTTGGCCAGCGCCAGCGAGCTCCCAGTCAAGGTTCTGGACGCCCTGATGCCGCTCGTAACAACAGTAACACTGAGTTCCTGATGAATCTCATGAGAGCACCTCCCGACGCCCAGCGCAATGAATTGTTGATGCGCATGGGCCCACAGCAGCAGAAGCCAGTACAGATGCCTCAAGAGCCCGACTTCCCCAGAGACGACCGTGGTCCTCAACGTCAAATGCGTCAACTACCGCCTGGTTTTCCCATGGAAGAACGATTCCACAACCCTCCTGACGCTGATGTTCGACCCAACCAGCCTACACAGATCTTGCAACGCCCACCTCCACCCCCTGGTCTGGACCATCAGATGCCTCCCAGCTGGATGCCTGGTGGCCAGATGCCTCCTCCCCAACCACGAGGTCCTATGATTCCTCCCCCAGGACTTCCTGGTGGTCTCGGTGGCCCTGGCGGCCCTGGACCCAACCGTAACATGCCCATGCCTCACATGTTTCCTCCCAACTTCCCTCCTGGCGTGATGCCTCCTCCCGAGGCCTTGGGTGGCCCTCCTCCTCGAAACATGCCTCCACCTCCTGGCTTCTACGGCGGCCCTCCTCACGGATTCATTCCTCCTGGACTTGGCGGCTTCAACGGACCCCCTGGACCTGACTTCCCTGGCGGTCCCTTTGAAGGCCGCGGTATGCCTCCTCCCGGTAACGGTCGTGGTGCCGCTTTCGGCAGACCTTAATCACATCTCATACAAATACCGTGCTTCAACACATCGAATCAAACACCTCTCGACTATAAAGTCTGTACCACTTTTGTACGGAATCAATCAGCCTGTCTGCAGAAACTTTTGAAAGTCAAAGCCTTACAATTAACAAAAGGGCTTCTTCCACTACTGTACGAATATCTACCGCAACCAACTCACCGCATCTTTTGATCGCATGCTTGGAACCAGGGTGCGCCCTGTAGCTAGTAACTTGTTTTTACGTGTCATTTTTTGGGAAGCACGGCGATGGGGGGAAACTAAGGGATATAGGCATGAAGGTTTAACTCGGTGAAAGTTAGGTAGTGAATTCAAATGGATTGGTTGATGGGCGATTTACTTTAGTTTCTTCTTTTCTTGTCTGGGTATTTACCGGCGATGATTATGACGATTTCTGTTGTTAATGTGATAATGAGGGCTAAATAGCAGTTACTTCAAAAGCCATGTTGAAACGAGAACAAAGAATTCACGACGTTTATACACTACAACTGATATATAAAGATGAACGTTCCCTAACCATTCGATTTGCCAAGTTATGTAATGCTTTCAACATAGATAGCAATCAATACGCAAAAGACGGTAGAACAACGCCACGCTCCGTCGACGAATTACGAAACCAAAAAGTACACCATATGCTTTACTGAGAAGCCACATTAAGCCGAAGGACCATCCAACCGACTTCTGCTCGAAGCACTCCTTTCTGGCTCACGCAGCACATTCATATTGTGATCTTCGGACGAAGTTGACGTTTCTGTAGTCTGAGATCGTCGAATGGCCCTCGGTTTCGGTGCAGAAGCTGCAGAGAGGCCCCCGTTCCAAGAACCCTACTTCTTGATACCAAGGAAGTTCCGCTTCTTCTTTTCCTTGTGGAGCTTAGCTGGTTCTTCGTGGTGTTGTTGAACACTGTGGTGCGATGTTGGCCGTGGTGCCGCGTTGTTACCGTGGCTGTTATTAATAGACATGTTGGACATTGCGGCCGTTGGCGGTGCCATTCCAGGGCTGGGTCTTGAAGGAAGACCGCCTGGTCGGTTCGTAGGGCCAGGCGGCAGTCCTTGCTGTGAGGGTTGTTGTGATGGTGCTGGGCGAGGAGGAGCTGGACGCTCGAAGAGATGACGTGGAGCGTGTCGTTTAGGTCGCTCCAGGGGCAAGTCAAGTTGACGCTTGTCGCGACTCAGATCGCTCACTTGGCGAATGAATAATTGAGGAGTGATCATATGAGAAGTTACCAGAATGATATCTCGACTGCGCGCTTCTCCGACTTCATAGCATGATCGGCTCTCGCTGTATGTAGCACCTCCTGCCATGAAAACAATTAATCGCTGTCGATTCTCTGGTGGACGGCGTCCAGCTGCTGCCCAATTTGGCCGACCGGCACGAAGAGAACCTCCCTGTGCTAAATGAAGCTCCTCATTGGGGTCCAGTGGTGGCTTCACGTATGGGAAGTGAGTCTGATCTAACATGCCCCTTGCCAAATGGTCCACCATGTGTTTCACTGCTGGCTCGAACCGTGTTAATCCATATTCCTCGTTCAACTGTGTCGATTTTGGATCGATTGGGAATAGAGGCGCAGGAAGCTGGCGCACATCTTTGAGCGCATGTGTCATATGTCCACCGAGCTGTTCAAAGTTCAGCACAACCTCGCGGTCAGACTGAGGGAGGGCTGCGTGGGCCAAGAGTCGTTTGATGTCTTCATCTATGACACCATCTCGGTAGAGAATGAATAATATGATGAGGCGCAACCTGTCTGAAGGTGATACAGCCTCATCGTCTAACAGAGGTACAATCATTTCGAGAATGTTCTTCGGTCTCTTAAAGTCCTCATCCAGTCCAGAGGCGAGTGTTTGCTCTATAGAGGCGATATCCATCAACTTGTGCTTCTGAAAAATGTTCATGCATTCTTGCGCCATGGTCAAATGCAGCGAGTATGCCTCCTTCATCTCTTGGAACTGCGGCAAGCCTGCCAACATATCTCTAATCGTATTGAGGTTGGTCGTGTCGGTATTCTCGTTAGTAAAGTGTGGGTTTTGTTGGAGGAACTTTTGGAAATCGCCCATAAGTTTATCAATCGTGTCCTTCATGTGTCTGTGTCGATTGTCCACCCATATCTTGTCTTTGTCTGTGAGCTCCATATCCTTCTCTTCAGCTTCCGGAGTTCCCTCGTTGATGGTCGTACGATAAGTGACCTTGTCGCCGTCCTTGATCGGCAGGAGGTCGTGTGCCATGGCTTGGTAGGAGAACTCGTGTACCAAAGGTGACATTAAATCCATCGATCGGTCTGTGATAACAAGGGTCGCTTGTGGCCGTGGTGAGGGTGGGGGGAAGCTAGTGTCCCATTGCGCATACGCATCGAGTTCTTCCTGGACAAATCGAGCCAAGTGAGTGCAGAGGACGGCTGCCTCGTGGCTTGCGCCTTGCGGCTTGTAGTAACGAACTTTGGGGTATTCTCCGAGTGTAATGCAAAGACCGGCAATCTAGCTTCTTGTCAACAAACGTCATCCGGCCGAAGCGTGCTGCCGCCTTACCTTTTGCGCTAGACTCTTCATGTGTGTTGGAACGATGGCGTTACAGGCTGGGTGGAAGAGCATGGGAAAGCTCCAGGGATCGCGAAGGGTAACGAGATGCGATTCTCGAGGCAGGAAATCGACGAACATCGTTTGAAAACCGGCGCGGAGCTGTCGGGCTCCAGGAAAGTCGTCGATCTTGCGTCGCAATGAGGGGTCGAGGAGGCCAGTCCAGACCAGGTAGTAGCTGCGATAACGTCGCATCTCGAAATCGGCGAGAAGGCATTCGACAGCGAAGGATTCAGGAGACAGAATATAGATTGCGTCCATCTCGGGGTTCGGTTCGCGACGGTTCTCGATTCGCTCGATAGCTGGAGGAAATGTTGGTCAGCATTAGACAATAAGCTGGTAGTTAGATAGACCAACTGGCGATATTGTTATTGAGAATGTCATCCTCCTTGACAACATTGTCAATGATCTTTTTGGAGTTCTCGTCGACGATCAGACATTTCCACTATTGCATCAAAGACGTCAGTCAACTGTCGAGCTCAAAGCTTGGCTGGTAGCTTACATCGCCTCTAGTGATCTTCTTGATCTGCCCCAAGATAGCTGAAGTCGGCGCATTAGCAACGAATTGTGTATAGTATTTGTATCGTATATATCATACCATCATGCTGCTCTTGAATGACGGACAGCCCCATGGTGTATAGTAAAGGCGGGCTGCCCCGTCACGTCGTTGGGTATGGAGATATTGAGGGAGGCTGAGATAGTGTTTGACAACGAGAGAAGCGGTAGGATCCAGCCCAGACGGAACCTTGAATTGAAGCGATACGGTGAGGCGCAGGGGTATCAAAGTTAAGAAAAGAAAAATGTTGCAATGTAACGTGGTTAAAGTTGAGGTTTTGGTGGTTTCGCTCAAGTATCGAGGATTCTGAGTTTGGTTTGGGCCTAAGTCAGGAGTTGAGTGAGGTGCTATGGCTTTCCATTTGGCGGGGTTTCATCATCCCAATGGCAGGCATGAAGAAGGTGGGTCCAGGTCTTGCAGTCGCTAGCGTCTGGTGGTTGGTTAGTGATGGTCGCTATAAAGGGTCCCTGAAGGAAGCCTGCAGGACAGAACATCAGCAGCATGACATAGGGAGCGGTGTATCAGCCTCAACTTCGATGAGGTCATCACAGATGCTTGAATTTTGAGTATATTTCGACTTCATTTCTTGACTTTTTAGATAGAATAAAATTTGTGGATATTCTGTTGATGATCTCGATATAGATATATCCGTATGTTTATCACTGTTTCGTTTATGCAACGTGAAACACTTGGTTCATTCTGAAACTCTTGATATACCTCAGTGCTTAAGCTCAGTTGACTGTAAATGACTCTCGAAATCAGAGCTGATGGCACTGGCGTCGCGGTACTCTGAGCCGAAATGCCCGGCTGTGATGGCTTCAGGTACAGCGGAATTGCCTAGTGTTGTCTTTCCGGGGAAATCTTCTGATCCGGCGGTGAGTCCTTGAGCAAGTCCTAGAATAGGCATCTCTTCAACCGCGTGGTGGCCTGTGATATCGAAGACCGGATACAATGTAACCGGAGCCTCGAGTGTCTTTGTTCTTCTCTATTTGTATTTCCCGTTGCCTTTGTCATCATCCATCATCGCCTTTCCCCCTCAGATAGCTTTCCACATCAACTCTCCCATAAATCTCACCCTGTAGTCTCTCATGCCGCTGTCGTTCTTTAGCCGCCAACTGCTTGGCTTCCTTTCTGTTCAGCGGTTTAGGCTTCTCTTCCTTTTTCTTTTCTTGAATCTCTTTCGGTATTGTTGCTCCAATGCCGAGGGTATCTTCTTTTGCCACCACTTTGATAGGATATCGCATTCCCTCGCCTTCTCTTCCTAGACCTCGTCTGGCATCGGGGTCCCAACCCTGAGACTTTAGAGCTTTTAGACCCATGCGTGAGCGATCAAGTGCTGATGGGGGGTGGGAGTGAGTGAGTGAGACTTGGTGAGCGAAAGATGCTTCGTGAGGCTGTGAAGTTGATGAAATGGGGAGTTTGCAGTCTGGACATATTTCCTCTGGCTCTTCTTCTGAGGCTTTGGTCTCTTTGTCTTCGGCAGGTTTTAGAACAATGCTCGCATATAAATCACCGATAGAAGTATCTGTGGATTTCGCTGGGGTGATTGTGGTTGTAGTACCGGCATCGGGATCTCTGGCGGGAACAAATTCGACCCTTTGTCGCTTGAGTCCTGCGCCGAAAGCTCGCTTGTAGTGTAAAGGAATGTCTTCTTCACCTTGGCTCTCATCAGAGGCGTCTTCTCTATAGCGCTGCATGATGCTAGGGTTGTGGAGACTCGGCTGTTGTTGATAAGTGATGCTTGAAGAAGGGAAGTTGTTCTAGAATTCGAGGTTGCCTAACCTAAATCATTTTGTTCCTGAGGTCCTTTGAACATACTAATTACAACACAACACAACACAACACAACTTTAACTTTTCTTTCTCTTCCCTAAACTTTCTAATCATTGAATATTTTAATCAAAGTCTGTAGTATATTTTCCAAGTTCCATACAGTATTTTCATGGATTGCACAGCAACACTCCAATGATTAGCATGCTATCAAATGCTATCACCCAATAAAGCCCATTTCTGAGTCGGCCGACTTGCCCGGTAACACTGAACATAATCAGTACATTTTTCGTCACTCAACGTTCCATGCATTCTTGGTAAGGCAAGCCACACATATTCATAAGCCATGCATCATGCCGAAACCCGAGAAACAAGATATGCCATTCGGTGAAGCCGATGCAGAATATGATGTGATTGCGAGAATAACCTTGAAATGATTTTCGTGAAACATGGTTTTTAGAGGACTCGCTATTCGTGCGTCTTGAACACGTCAGTGGTCGCCGAATTTGTGAGGATAGTGACATAGGAGGTGCTGGTCCGGAGGAAGGGACAAATGCTGATTGCTGCGTTTGTGAGAACTTGCATGTTTTATTATAGATACAGTATAACGGCCTTCTCGTGGATGAAGTATAAGTAGACGACCTTTCCTCGTTAATCAGAAATCCTCCTCCACTCAAGCACACAACCCTTAACTCATTCTATCAAAAATCACTGAATACCAATATCTTCTCATATTATAGTCCTATCAAGATAACAATCATGGGCTCAGTCGAAGCAAACGGCCATCCAAAGGTCCTCATCAACGTCGGGGCTAAGAATGTTTGTCTCACCAATACCTTCGCATTCTGTTCACTAACACAATCACAGGTCCCCTTCTACACTCCTATCCAAGACCCTCCTGCAGGAACGCCATGGGACGTTCAACCCGAAGGCAGCCTCTTCTCCCCTCTCAAACTACGAGGTCTAACACTCCACAATCGTATCATCGTATCACCAATGTGCCAGTACGTAACCCCTCACATACCACCACGAACCGTCCAACTGATTTTGTAGGTACTCTGCTAAAGATGGCTACATGACCCCATGGCACAAGCAACACCTCGGAAGTTTCGCCGCACGTGGCCCAGGTCTTATCCTCACAGAAGTAAATGCTGTGTCACCGGAAGGACGAATCAGCCCAGAAGATGCAGGTATCTGGGAAGATGGACAAATTGGGCCTCTGGAGGAGATTGTGGATTTCGTTCATAGTCAAGGTGCGAGGATTGCTATTCAGATGGGCCATGCGGGGAGAAAAGCGAGTACTGTTGTGCCGTGGCTGGATCGCAAGAACACAGCTGTCAAAGAGGTAAGAAACTTGTTGTACATGATATGAGCAGTGACTGACTGCTTACAGGCTGGTGGCTGGCCTGACGATGTGGTTGCACCAAGCGCGATCCCCTACAGTCCAGAGTCTCTTACTCCCAGGGAGATGACAAGCGATGATATTACCAAGTTCAAGCAAGATTGGGTTGCTGCTGTGAAAAGGGCACTCAAGGCTGGCTTTGATGTGAGACCTCCAGACAGTACATCTGACTTGATAGACACTGACTCGTTTAGGCTATCGAAGTTCACGCTGCACATGGATATCTCCTAAACGCATTCCTTTCTCCAGCCTCAAACCAGCGAACGGATAAATACGGCGGATCTTTCGAAAACCGTATTCGTCTCCTTCTCGAGACCATTCAGCTCACTCGCGATATCGTCCCTGAGGACTTTCCACTTCTTGTCCGCATGCCAGGAACAGACTACCTCGAGTTCGATTCGACTTTACCGCAGTGGCACATTGAAGAAGCCGCAAAGCTCGGTCAAATACTCGCAGAAAACGGTATTGATTTGATCGACATCTCAGGCGGTGGTTTGGACAGTCGTCAGAAGATCACTTCTGGTCCCGGATATCAAGTCTCATATGCTGCAGCAGTAAAGAAAGCTGTCAAAGATACTGGGGTTGCTGTGACTTCAGTGGGAATGATCACCTCAGGAAAGCAAGCTCAGGGTTATCTGAGTGATGGCTCTGTAGATGCTGTGTTGGTGGGACGAGGATTCCTCAAGGACCCTAATCTTGTTTGGCACTGGGCTGATGAGCTGGATGTTGACATCCATGTCGCTTCTCAATGTATGTTTCCAGTATCTGCCAGGTGAAAGACCATACTGACGATGATATAGATGGCTGGGGCTTTGGAATGACCCGTACTCACCGACATAGAAAGCACTAAGCGGAGTGTACACTATACAGCCTCTCCTTTTCCTATAACACTCATATAGACAACTTCGGTATAGACGATAAATAGAGATCAGTGTGAATCGAAACAACTGCTCAACAAAATGCTTTCTTCATGTTCAACATCTCTCTATGTATTTCGTCAACCTGAACAATTCATACAATTCTCATAACATGTTCGAATGCATCATAACTCATGATATCCAGATTGTCTCCAAGCTTACGCAGCACTGCTGCCCGCCCGACGCGTAGCCCGTATCTTTTGCTGCGCCCTGGCTCTCTGTAACATCTCATCATCCATGCTCTGACGCCATGAACAGTCGGAAGCAAATTCACATGTTCTACACTTGAATGCTTCCTCTATATCGACGCCTCTTGCATCGCGTTTACCTTTCCACCAATCCATGTAGTTAGCAAGATAGGTCTCCAAAGCTTGTCTCGAAGCAGGAAAGTCGTGGAGATCGATTTCACGACCGTCGCTGCGGTGTACGTATTGAACTCGAAGCATATGTCCAAGAGACTGTTCGCCTTGAGGGAAGGTGAGCTCTATTTCATACTCAACAAGAGGAACAAGTTCGCGTAGGGTTCGATACTGCAGCAGATCTGGGCCTGATGAAGAAGAACTTTGAAAACTCGAAGATGGATGTTCCTGGGTGAATTCTGTTTCTGTTTCTAATGCATCCACAAAGATCTCATCATGCAAGCTGCCGACCTGTGCGATGAAAGTGTCCGAGAAGGTATCGTCAGGATCAAGTCCGTACCGCCGAAAGACCTTGAGAAAGTCCAGTTTTCCAGCAGCCATGTTAGATAAGAACTGATGATACAAGAGCAACTGAATCTTTGCGGGTCGTATCTGAGCGTTGGAAACAGGAGAAAATGATCCGCGAGTCTTTACGTCTGCAAGATAAATCTTTGGCCCCGAGTTGTTTGTATGATTCGTGTTTTTCGGCGGAAAATAGTCAGTCAATGAGGATTGTCGTCCGGTCGTGTCAGACTCTTGACTAGAGAGCTCTGCCTCAAATTCAGGATTCGGATTCTCATAGCTTACGCTATCGATGACTCCATTGACGAGGTTCCCATCAATCATGCCCCATACTTCCAGTTCACGAGTGAGTCCCGTGTCTCGCAAGGTTCTCAGTCCTTGAACTAGATTCCACAACTTGAGTCCAAATGCGTCTTCCTTGGTCATGATGTCGATTTGAACCGTAGTGTGAACTTCGTCCTCAAGCTTTTTGTGAACTTTGGTTCCTTGCTTCATGGCTGCTGTTCTGGTTCTACGACCTCCGGGTAAGCGGGTGAGAGTATACCAGTACTGCAACTCGCACCAAGCGCCAGACGTAAGATCGGTCACGGTCAGTGGCCTCTTAGGATATGACCTGAACCGCTGTAGAGGTGAGCGGCCGTCATCGTACGGATCACCCTCGTTTGCCTCGGATGCTGGTGTTGGGGTAACGCTTGATTCTGATTCTGGGGGTGGCTTTGGCTTCAAATTCTTTAGGGCTTTGCTCACTAATCTCTTCGGTCAGTTAGTGCTGAAGCCTCTTGAGGGTATCATCACGTACAATCCGGGTAGAGTACGTCCTCGATTGAGGATGCAGCCGGCGGTGGCGTTGGCAGGCCAGAAGACGCGTCGAGTTGATGAAAAGCTTTGCCTCTGTACAAACTATTCGTGGATTCTGTTTGAAGGCGGTCCACGCCATCAGTTGATGTGGCCCCAGTGACATTTTGAGGGTGTAGATTGTTTCTTCTCTCAGGAACAGAGTCTATAACTGCTATCTTTGTATTGTTCGGATGAGCAGTGTTGTTCTTTTCAGCAGACAACTGGAGGAGCAATTCTTCCTCTTCGGCAGAGAAGTCGTAGCCAAACTCGTTATCGCTATCTAACGTCATCGCAGCCGCACTCGTTCAAGGCGATGAATCATTGTTTTAGGGAATGGATGCGGCGGGGAAAATGGCACTTGCAGCTAATTTTAGCAACGGTTTTGATGATGAATGACGAAGATGAGTTTTGGCGTCTGACTCTAGAGGGGGAAGACGCGAGTGAGTACACGGGGTCACGTGGGGTGTTGGCAAGAGGCAAAAGTAATACGCAACTGCCTAAGAATAAGAATAGGCAGGATATCGATATTGTGATTAATTGATGTTCGTAGATGAATCAGTTGAGTCAAGACAAACAATATTCTGGGGCTAACATGTGTGTGGAGACAATACCAACTATAGCCATTGCCATGTCTCTACTGCAAACAGACATGCCCGCATTCGGCTCTCACTCTCACTATCACTCGTCTAACAACCGAAATAGAGTAGATATTTGGCTGCCTCCTCGAGTGACAATGACTAACATAAAACTCGAGCCCTCAGCCTTGAAGTTAAATTTATAACAATAGTCCTACAGCTGAAGGTGCTTTGAAACGACTAAATGACCTAGATTCTGCACTGCCCTATTGGCTTGGGCGCTGCCTACAACAACCCTGGCCTGTCCTAGGTAGACTATCGTTTAGGCTTCCAAGTCCTTGACCTCGTACAAGGCAGCAGCCAGATACAAAGCCTTCGCATATTCCCAGAGCAAGATCAAAGGCTTCATAATAATTCGTCACTCTTTCGGAACTCAATCGTCCCGCTCCGTTCCACAATGTCCAACGTTCTCCGAAGCCGCCGCCCCACAATCGGGCCCGATGCCGGAAAGGCTTCCGGAGCGTCTACTAGAGCATCTCCTCAGAGGACGTTCATGTCGTTACCAACAGAAATACATCTCGCCATCTCCGATTTTCTCATCTACCCAGATGCACTATCTTTAAAACACACCAACGCCTATTTCTATAGCCTTGTCGATACTGGTATCAACCTCAAAGTGGAATGGCTAGTGGAACGACGGAGTCTACATCTAGAATGCCCCAACGACCGGCGATGCGATCTTGGCAGTGATCTGCGTTTCTGCCGCGGGAGTGTACCGTAAGTCAATATCCTATAACGTGGTTGAAATGAATCATCGACTAATTATTATAGTCTACTCATGCAACGCAGACGAGAACATGTTGAGTGTGAATCTCGACCAGGTCTCGGATGTCTTGTCTACGGGACAAAGACATGCTCTCATCGCTCACTACTGAGTCGAACACTTCCACGCTGGATGCAAATCAAACTGACCATTGAAATTTGGTGGATTTTGCTCGCTCTTGTACCCATCTTCTCGTGCTGGGTATGGCTAGCTGAGTTACCATGGGGACTTGTATTCGTATCTTGAGCTTCGGTATTTGCTTTCCCACGGGTGTCAGGAGCATGTTAAGATTTTTGTCTGTTTGCTGTTTTTGGAAAGAATAATTTTGTAATGCTAATCTTATAACATAAAGGAACGGATATCCAGGGCAATAATGGTTGGAGGCATGAAATCGAGCTTTTGCCTGCTTCTGGCCAAACGTTTATACTCTGGTAGTATGAATAAGAAAGATTGTTACTTATAACGTCAAATTGTATACTCACGATAGGTTTCGGGCCCTGCCAATATGTGTAGATAATAGGATGTCGAGTCATTTCACTTCTTTGAGATCACAACTTGGAACAGGGACTAGGAACTGCCGGTGGGAAGCAAGATATGGTTCATTGCTTTTGTTCAGTTTAACTTCGTTACTGTGACAAAGTCAAAGTGAGCTAAAAATATAGACTGTCTGCCTGTGTAGTAAAAGCGAGTGAACACTGGAGAAGAATAAGCTGGGCGAATCTCTCTTCAGCCCTCTCCAAATTTGGTACAGAACTCGCAATAGTTTAAAGAAGCTCATCAAAGAGCTCGGATAGAAGGGTACTGATGGTTTCTGGGCGCCAAAGGACGCTTTTTCTCGCCGAAATTCAAAACTGTAGAGGCCGGTAACGACAGGCGTGCAACATTGTGCTGGTCGAAATCAAGCGTAACATGAAAGAAATATTCAGCTGCAGGACTTCTAGTCGAAGATTAATGAGAGTGAACAGAAGCTGTGATGTTACAAGGTTGAGTCTCAATATCCTGACTAGATCTTCGACCAGCGCAGAAGCACAGCCGCAAGAATAACCGGCAAAACGCTCACCAGTTCTCCAAGACCTGCATACTCAGGGGGGATCCTCGCATTCACAAATGCACCAGCAGCGAGAAGAACGGCGAATGTGTTGTATACGAAGCTCCAACAGAAATTGAACTTGATGCGGTTGACAGACTTTCGACTCGCGTCTATCATAGTGGCAATGCCACTTAGAGCGGGTCGCATGAGGACTACGTCGGCTGCGGACTGGGCTACGTCTGTGCCTTCGTTCATGTGGACGCCAACGGTGGCTTGGGCGAGAGCTACTGCATCGTTTGTACCGTCGCCGCAGAAGACGACAACTGGTTTCTTGCGATCTGCGGAAGTACCGAGGAGAGCCTGGATATAGTCTCGTTTTCCGGCAGGCGAAGTTCGGGAGCGGACGTTTTCTTGTGGGATGCTCAGCTTTGAAGCCAGGTTGTGAACAGCTGCATCATCATCGCCAGAAACCACATGAACTGAAATGCCTCGCATGTGCAGGGCTTCAACCGTTGCAAAGGCATCCTTTCGAGGCTCGTCTTGAAGACCGTACACAGCCTGCAACTTGTCGTTGATTGTGAAACAAAAGACGGTATGACCTTGAGAAAGCATGGGCTGAACAAGAGGATCATCCGAGAGATTGAGCCAGGTGGAGTTTCCAGCTTTCAGCCTCTGACCCTTCACAACTGCTTCGACGCCTTTACCGGTCAGGCTCTTCGGCTCACCCACAGCCGAAGGTTCAACTCCAATATCCTTGAGGTAGCCCGTCACAGCTATGGAGACTGGATGACGACTGCTCTCGATTAGGCCCAAAAGGAGAGGAATAGTACTTCCATCGACAAACTCATTTGCAACGACAGAAAGCTTCCCCTGAGTCAAGGTTCCAGTCTTGTCAAAAACAACATGAGATGTCTTGTGAGCAACTTCGATAGCATCTGCAGACTTGAAGATAATACCTCTTTCTGCGGCCACTCCGCTCATGATAACTATGACCATTGGGACTGCCAGTCCGATCGCACAAGGGCAGGATACGATAAGAACAGCAATGGTGTAGGTGATCGCCTCGGTTGTTGCCTTCGAGCCACCATAACCACGAACCGTTATGCCAATTGCAACCCAAATAACGAAAGTGATAGTGGTTAACGCCACAACCACAGGGACGAAATATGAGGCCACTCGGTCTGCTAGATCCTGTAGCTTGGGCTTTGATAGCTTGGCTTCATCAACCATGGCAGCAATCGCATTGATGGTATTGTCACTAGGCAAGCGACTTAGGCGAACTGTCATGACTCCTGGGCCATTGATAGATCCTGCAATGACAACACTCTTGAAATGCTTCTCCACCGGCTTGGACTCGCCTGTAAGCATCGATTCATCGACTTCGGACGAACCACTTATGACTGTTCCATCTGTCGGGATCCTAGTATCTGGCAGAACCTTAAAGACATCGTCGTACTGAAGAAGCCTGGCGTCAATTTCACGTTCCGTGCCTGTTTTTTCCTCGACGAGAATAGCGGTTGATGATTGGAGTGATCGGATAGAGATGGATTCAACTGCCTTCTGTCGAGCAAGTGCTGCAACCCACCGACCAACCATGATCAAAGTCACCAGCAGAGTAGAAGTTTCGAAGAATTGGCCAGTCGAAAGGGGCTCGTCAGCAATGAGGTATCCGAATGAAACAACTGAGAAGACGTAGGCTGCACTTGTGCTCAGAACAATCAACAAGTCCATCTCAATGACTCTAGAAAAGACTAAAGCCTTGATAGCTTTCGGGTAGAAAGGCCCAGCAACCACAACCTGAACAATGGTGGCTAAGGCCAGAGAAGCCGAAGAGTATGCGACCTCTCTCTCAGGAAGCGGAGCCCAAGCCATGACCAGAACAGGAACTGTTAAAACAGCAGATAAGAGGGTAGTGTACCCAACATGGCGAACATGTTTACTACCAGTTTCAAGTGACGAATCACCACGGGGAGGCGCAAGCTTGACTGGAGGGTCCCAAGATCTTTCAGCAAGGTCCCGTGCTCCAACGATCTCAGGATCAAAGGAGACTCGAACAGTATCCTTATCCACAAGGCTCATTTCCAGAACTCCCTCGGGCCATACCTGACCTATGAAAGTAGACGTGCTGCCATAGACGATGAAGTCCAAGCTAGACCCCTTCGTCTGAAGTCTTTCACACTTGAACTCAGTCGTTCGCTCAAGATGCTTGATAACCTCATCGACTGAACCGAGACGAAGATCGATGTTAAACTCGGCGCGTGAGAGAACGAGACTGGTCTTCAGATCATTGACTGCTGGAACTGTAGCGAGAGTTCTGTTGAGCTTGGTCTCACAGCCAGTGCATGTCATGCCGGAGATACTCAGAACTACATGTTCTTTTCCTGTTGCCTGATTCTCCACATCCTCAGGACTGTGGATTGCTTCGATCTTCGTTCCCTTCTCGGGTGTCGCAGAAACGCAACAAGCATCTGGGGGGGAGTCTCGACAAGTGACAGACGGAGCCTTCTCGCAGCAGGAATCGGCACAACTGTCGGAAGATTTGGTAACAATTTTCTCGGCTGGCTTGCAGCAGGAACTGACGCATGTAGACTTGGGCAGCTCCTTGACAATCGCTGCTATTTCCTCGTCGCAGCAGGACTTTGCGCAGTTGCTCTTCGCAGTTTCAACCATCAATCCACTATTGGCAGTAGAGGACTCTTTGGGCTGAGTGGTGCAGCATTTATCGGGACATCCATCGCTTTCAACAGCTTTCTTGGAAAGCTCGCCATCGCTGCAGCAGTTACTGGCACAACTCTTTTCGATGAGTTGGCTCTTGGGTGCAGCCTTCTTGGAACAACATCCATCCAGACAGCCGTCCTTGTCTTTTTCTTTGACGGGTTTGAACTCTGCGCATTTGAGTTTGGCATCTTCCTCTGAACAACATGATTTGGCACACTTCTTAGATGCCGCTTCTTTGTTGGGATTGCCAACTGAACAGCACGACTTAGTGCAGCTCTCCTTGACAGACGGCTGTTTGGCGGACCTGACACTCTTGGTGGAACCCTTTCGCAAGCGAAGACGGTTCTCTGCAGCCTTTTCTTTCGCAACAGAGCCGGTGCTGCAGCAAGAGTCCGTTGAGGTGCGGATCAGAGAGCGGGAAGACGACTTCTTGGAGCATTGCTTGGTGATAGCCGGGCGGCCTTTGGTCTCACAGCAAGACTCTTGACCCAGAGCAATGAGAGCGCGGCAGATACATCCGAGTGCCTTCAGAGTTGCACCATAGCGGTCGAGAGCAGAAAGACTGTGCTTGCTGCATGCTTTGCCGTCAGCTGCGCCATTGCAGCTGGAGCTAGAGCTGCCGCAACCCGTTGCATCCGCTGTAAGGTGTTAGCAAATGTGAAGCTACCAGTGCCTTTGAGTATCCGGAGCTTACGCTTGTGAGTAGCACTTAGCTCGCACTCTCGCATGGCGATACGGTCAATGCAAGAAGCATTGCAGCAGGGGCTTGTTTTTCCGCGGCAGCAGTCCGGCGCATCATCTTTATTTTGCTCCTCACAGCTACCAGAAGCGCAACAGTCATCAGCCAATTCTTTGTTGGCTGGCTCTTCCTCCTTGACTTCAGTTGCAACGTCCTCTTCATCACAGCAAGCATCCTTGCAACTTCCGATATCGCTTGGAGGAGGCGTCTCAGCAGTGACCAGCTCCGCAGCTGAGGCCGGAGGGCCGCAGCAGTCGCATCCCATGATTCAGTCAAATACCGGGTGTTGATTTATTGTTTGCTGTTGTTCGTTGTCCTGTTTATTGGAAAGTTAAGGTGATGGACCTCTAACCAAATCTCGTCTTAGCTTATATGCGACCTTGTGCAGATAGAACGCACGTGAATGGCTCCTTGGATGAGGAGCCAGATAAACATGAGACACTACTGATACCCGGTAAATATGTCGGAATACTACATAGTACTCTTATTACAAGCTGATATCCATATAGTTATCCCCGAGAAATTATGCATTTGCTAGTTGGTTTAATCAATCTGCTCTTGTATGAGGACAAAAATAAACTATAATATACCACAAAGCATACTCCTATTTGATTTCCGGCCAGTAGGTTCATTAATAAGCCTTATGGGAGGTGAAAGAATGCACTTAGGCTTCTTGCATGCTCTCAAGCCGTATGTGTTGACATCGATTGGTGGACCGTTTCTAAACTACATTAATCGCCTATTATGCATAGCGGCACATAGATAACTGATGCAATCAACAAAACAAAGGACATTCACTTACTTAAGTCCCAGTATGCAACTTATATAAAAGCGATGAAATGATTCTAGCATCCTTCCAAGTTTCAACTTTCTCATCACACTATATACAATATATACGAGGGTACAAAGTGGCAAAGGTAAAGGAGGCACCCCGAGATCGATATGTTGGAATACGACGCTGTTCGAGGAGTTTCGACAACAATTACGGTCAATGCAACCTTTCTTCAATAATAATTAACGTTACGGATATTGCGTGATTGTAGGCTATGGATAGTCCGCATATATCTCCATTGCAGTGCTGACGATTTGGACTTAGATCCTTTACATATTCCGAGACGTCCTCATATAGCGTTCGCCCTGATAATTGCTGGCTTGATACGATCTGAGCTTGATGCTCAAAACAGTCCATTCCACTAGCATTCTTGGGCTTCCGAACATGTGCTGTTTCGCCCAAAACGCCAGACTACTGGTTCTTTGGTCAACGTCGACTGCGGCCACGCCAAGCTTCCCACAATTATTCAACGCCTAGGCCTCCCACCTTTGAAAGAACCGACTACTAGTATACCAATGGAGGTTCAACTTATGAGAATTGGGTTCCCCAACCTTCTTGACCTCATACTGATAGACCTCTCCTACCCAGAGAACAGCTTTGCAACACTTATTCGACCATACCAAGCAACATCCATACCAATAAGATAGTTGTCGGGGTCACTGAACAGCCCAGGAGCAATGGCCACCTCCAGAACAACATCCAGATCGACTAGCTCACCTATATAGACACCGTTTCACCGGATCACATTGGGAAGATCTCGAAAGCAATGCATTGTGTCCCCGACTCGACACTTAACAACCGCTATGGTCAAGTACCGGCATCAACTGATCCAAGAAATATATCTGGTAACAGGCTCTCAAACCATTGGATTCCAGAGAACGTAGCGTCACAATCAAGAAACACTGTCACAATGGCATCGTTCGGAAGTTACTTCATGGAACAGGCTCTACACAAGCGATCTCTTCACACGAACTGAATCAACTTGGGGAGCTGTGGATGATTCCAATTTGAGGTATAAATAGCCAAAGACCTCTCCTCATCTTTTCAATCATCAACAAACACTTATCTATTACATTTGTCTTGCACAATTAAGCTCTTCACCACTTTTCGCAACACCTCTCATAACACTTTCATCACCGCAGCACTCTATTCACAACTTTTTATCTCTCCAAAGATAACCAAACTTACCTACGACTTCACCCTGGTCTATCTACCCTCTCACTTAAACCTACCAATCCGAGAACATGGCTCCCACACAGAACGGAGGTGAGGATCTTACTCACGGTACACCTGCTACCGGTCTCCGAGGCATGCTACGCGGCTTGTCAGTGCGTAGATTGGAGAAGAGCCTAGATAAGAAGGCGGCGGACCAGAGAGAGCAGAATTGGACACTCCCGGATGAGGAGGAGTGTAAGAGGTGGACTCTGGAGGAATTGCAGCAGGAATATGAAATCCTGCTGAAGAAGTACAAGCAGGCTGACCGAGATCAAAACAATCTGGTCTCGGCGAGCATCACCGACAAAAAGGTGACTGCTAATGCTGGCAACGTGGCGAACCAGTGCCGCGAATGGGTGCACGATTGCAAGAAGACCTTGCAGTCTCTGGAGGGGGCTATCCGCCTGATCATCAACAAGACGGATGCCAAGGCAGCGGTTGCACAGGCCTGTAAGCATCCGACGCCAGACAATGTACATCTGGCAATGAAGGAAATCAATGACGCCGACAGGCGCATTGAAGCCCTACAGAGCCAGATTGGAGGGTACGTCGATGCTCTGCGCCAGTGGCTCGACAAGGAGCCCGGCTTCTAAGTCACTACTCCCTGTCCGCTAGGTTCCTTGGAGTTTGGGGGTTTCACACTGACATCCAATTTGGATGATCAGTCCTTGGTCACTTGATATGGCTGGAACCAATCAAGAAAGGTTAGAAGATGAAGAAGAAGCTGATTACTCTTCAGGAGTTTGAAGCTTGGAGCTTCTTTTGAACACTGGGTGCTTTGACGTTAAAAGCAGACAAATATTAAAATAAAATAAAACCTTGATAAGCAGATAAAACCACTGAATCTTCATAACTTGTCCCATTTTTATACCTGTGATAAACAAATAAAACGTGAAATGTTGCTATGGCACGTCTAATTCTTTGCACCATCTTTTAACTCCCGCTTGATCCTGGTAATAGTACCCGCACCACCATACGTCATTCCTGTGTAGACCATGGCTACACTCGCGCCAGCGTTGAGAATGTTTCGTGCCTGCTCGCCGTTGGTGATACCTCCTGTAGCAAAGATGACCTTCTGTGGGGATCCAGTCGTGGCCGCGAAAGAGCGTGAGTCTAGGAGCTTACGGTATCGTCGAACAAGGTCGAGTGTTCGGCTGTACATAGCAGGACCTGAGTAGCCACCAGTCTCCATAAGGTTCTTTTGCTCCTGAGCAGTGAGCTTAATACCTTCAGGAACAACACCATCTCGTCTCTTAGTAGTGTTACCCACGATGACTCCGTCAACACCACTTCGGTGAACAGCCTCAACGATACCCTCCATTTGAGTATCCTCATCCTCATCAGGGGAAACCTTCACCATGACCTTAGGTCTTTGCTTTCGGTCAGTCTTGGCAGCCTCGTCAACTACAGCGCTGAGAAGCCGTGTCAGGGGCTCAGTAGCCTGAAGATCACGCAGCCCGGGTGTGTTGGGGCTGCTGACATTGACGACCAGGATATCAGCGTAGCGAGCTAGTCTTCGCACACAGTATACATAGTCATCGGCAATAGCCTTCTCATCCCGTTCGTCCGTCTCCTTGTTCTTGGCAATCTGAACAGCCAAAAGACGGCCCTTGCGCAGACTTCCAGGAGGAACATTGGCCTCTCCATTGAGAACATCCTTCTCAGTCACACCAAGAGATCGGGCGAATCGTCGAAGTCTGTCCCTGAGTCGAATGGCCATATCGTCAGCTCCGCGAGAGTTCAGACCATATCGGTTTACCATGCCATCAAGGCTGCGAACACGGAAAACTCTAGGCTTGGGGTTTCCCTCTTGAGGAAGAGGTGTGCAGCCGCCAACTTCGACAATGCCAGCTCCAAGCTCAAACAGCACATCTGGGATCTCAGCATCCTTGTCAAGACCGGCCGAGATACCAATTGGGTTCGACACTTCAGTTCCAAAAACATTGACTGCGAGTTCGGGAGAGTTGAGGGCCGTGTCGCGCTCTCGGGGGTGAAGGTTAAACTCGTAAGCCACCTTCAGCGCTGTGGTACCGGCATGATGAGCATCCTCAGCATCAGGGAAAGCCCAGCGAATGAATGGAGGAACGAGCCAACGGTGGAAGAAAGCCCGGGTATCGGTAGCGTAGAGGTACGAAGCGTATAGAGCAACAGCACCAACAGTGCCGTAGAGAGCAAGCTTGAGGGCAGCTCCGTCACCGGCCGAAGATGAAGATGATGCGTTGCGGCGCTGGACGAGTTGTGACCTAGGAATGGCAGGACGAGCGGAGGAAGCAATTCGGGTGCCGGAGATGGCAGCTCGTGATCTGAAGAGTGCGGCAGACATGGCTGGGAAGTGATGCTGGGCCGGGCCAGCTCCCAATGGTTTCACGGGTCGCGATAGTAGTGTTCGGGTGAAGCTTCAAAACGCATCCATAAATTGCCGACCCTTGATTGTAGAGCACAGTATCAGACAGTGTGATGCACAGTATGCAGCAAGATATAAGGCGCATCAGCGCCTGGAGTGCCGATTCTCAGATATATACCTATTTCTTCTTCATTTCTGTCTCATGATTTAAGGAGATTCACTTTTCCATTACAAGTAACAATTCAAAATATTACACTTAGTTACCTTATTGCGCCGATAACGCTCATCGTAAACCCGAATTGAGTTTTCATCTAGATAATCTCGACCTGTTCTATGGCATGAGGACCAACTAGAATTAGAATAAAATCGCCGAGAATACGCATTGACTTTCAAAGTTTTCATTTCATGAACGGCTCGCGATTGTATCGAATGATGATCACCCGAGAGTGGTGGATTCAAGAAGCAAGATGCTGCCACAACTTGAACGCCAACATCTGAAGAATTTGATGCATACAGTTATGTGGACTAGGTCTCGGCAAAATTGCAGGTTCGCCGTATCTATTCTTGTCATTGACAGGCCAAACTTATTTCTATGTCACTGACGGTTCCATGATACCACTGTCATCAAAAATCTGCACTGGTAATTAGCCGTTGGTGTTGCCGATGATAATTGATCCGAAGACAAAGGTCGGAGCTGAGTTGGCAACGGAACCGCACAGTCCGGAGGGCGAAGTTAATCCGTCCCCACTCTTTCGGCCGTCTCTTACACCGGAGCTTCATAGTCAAGCCGTCTTTTGATATGGAGCCGGGGCTGTAGCCATCATAGCTTCGGTGTATTCGGGCACCGGCCACTAGTTTGCTTTATAATAAACACAATCCCTCGCGATGATTACAGATCGCGATGGCTGGCCTTTTCATTAGAAAATTCTATATAATAGGTTTGATAGATCATCCTCCATAGATAATTTATTCATCAGTTTATACTATTATAACCAGTATCTCATCATTTTATTACTGCTTTATTCTCTGCACCAGAAATTGACAACTTGGACATTATCAAAATGTCACGAGCAGTCCTCATATGTGGTGCAACCGGAAAGCAAGGCGGTGCTGTTCTTGACCAACTCGTCAAGCAAAATGCCGACTTGGAAATTCTCGCCGTCACCAGAAACCCCAATTCTCCTTCAGCTCGGAAGCTCATACAGAAATCATCCAACATCAAGCTGGTCCAGGGAGACTTATCTGATGCAGCCACAATCTTCAAAAATGCTCGTGAAGTTACAAAGCAATCTATCTGGGGAGTTTTCAGTGTTCAGGTAAGGACATTTCTTTCTTAAAGGTTACAATCGAGATTCTAATTTGCTCTCTCACTAGTCCCCTATGGGTCAAGGAGATGGCGCTGAAGTAGCCCAAGGAAGAGGTCTTGTCGACACTGCTTTGGATGCTGGGGTCAAGTTCTTTGTCTACACTTCAGTCGACCGACATGGCGAAGACTCTTTGAGCAACCCAACTCAGGTACCTCACTTTATTACAAAACATGAAATTGAGAAACACTTGATTTCCCGTACTGCTGGTACTGATATGCAATGGTTCATCATACGACCAGTGGCCTTCATGGAGAACTTGACAGACAATTTTCTAGGAAGGTCATTCGTCACAGCATGGAAGCTGGTTGTCAAGACTAAACCTCTTCAACTCGTCACAGTGACCGATGTGGGCATCGCCGGTGCAAAAGCTTTCCTTGAACCAGAAAAATACGCGGGTCGTGCTGTGTCACTTGCTGGTGACGAACTGACGCTCGAGGAGTTCGAAAGGATCTTCAAGGAAAAAACTGGTCGCGATCTCCCATACACGTATAGTCTTGTTGTTTACCCAATCATGGCGATGGTCAAGGAGTTGGGGTATATGTTCAAGTGGTTCGAGTACCAGGGCTTCGGTGCGGATTTGAAGACGTTGAGAAAGGAATACCCCGAGTTGATGACATTCGGAACTTGGCTTGAGACAGAAAGCGACTTTGCTCGCAAGTAGTTGGGATGGTCGTGGGGGAGGTCCGTTTGAGTTTGGTTTCTTTGCGTATTTCAAGGCTGAAGATATAGTCGTTATAATCGTAATAATGGCGGTGTTCGTCTTCAATACGTCTTGTACAGTGACCTTGAGAATGTGCTATCCTGGATGTCTGTTTACCAGTATCCTCAAGAGTATGAGTCCCGTGGACAGGAGTAAAGACGTTGCGTAGCGTGTAATGGAATATCTAGTGGTACTTCTTGTAAGTTGACCTAGAATACGACATAAGTATTGGCATATCTAGAAAAGGGGTATTGATATCCAACCTTGTTCATGGAAAGAGATGTAATACCGCATTGCTTCATCTCCTTAACAATTTCACTCGCCAAGGTATTGGCAACAATATTTGTATTACCCAAAGCAGCCAAGACCTTGAGTATGAAGTCTAGATCCTGCCCATGTTCTCCATCAGGCTCTGCTGGAGATGTACTTGCAATAAATCCTAGAGCAGCCATATATGCAGCAAAACAAATAAGGGGGTTAGTAAATGTCGCACCAAGATCGGGTATCATTCTAAAAATGTTGAGTATCTCTTCCGCTGCTGGAAGCAGACGGTCTTGAGATAGTCGGATCACGTAACTCGGTAGCCCCTGTAGATTAGACTTCATCCTCCACAAGGCTGCTCGATGAAGGCAGATGGTGGCTGTATGTAACATGACATTGACAAAGATGGCGTTGTGGGTCTTGTAGTTGGCAGGAAGACAAAGATTCTTAGGCAACATCAGTAGCATGAACTTGAGATCATTATCAGTGCTTTTGTGTCTTTGCCAGTACGGGTCTCCGTTGAAGTCCTGAAACTCTTGATCCTGGCTGTTATTAGTTCCAGTATGTTCTATAGTGCGGTGAAAGATATGCGCTGCAAGCACTGCTCCAGCAAATGTAGAGTGTGGTTCGGACTCGAGTAATTGATCTCCTAGGAAGCGCGTCTTCTCCTCTTGACCGTTTGCATAAGCTTCATCTGAGGCTGGAAGTCGAGTTCTGATCTGAAATATCGTTCAATGATATGCTCGAAAGGTTTTAGTGGGAAACTCACGTTATGGTCATGTATAAGTGCTGGCCATCCAGTCGTGGCACAGGTAAAGCGATCATAGCAGAATATGGTCCACCAAGTGCGACGGCGTTCTTCAACTCCTATCCAGTCAACATGATAACAGCTATCCGGTCTGGTGATGTCAACTTGGTGTAGATTTAGCATATGTGCAGCTCTAATGGTAGAACAAAGTGTTATCGAAGCCTTTGCAAACATAGAGTGCTCGGCTTCGAAGCACGATATTAGAGCCCGAGCTTGCACATGTCCTAAAGATATTGAGCTTTCACTGATGTCCTGTGTTCTTTACTTAGCAAATGTCCTGAAGGTATATGGTTATCACATACACCTGAGTCATCGTCTTGGAGATATTTTATCGCGCGCTTGTAAAATACCATGCCCAGATGGCGGTAGATGTCAGATGTCTCAGCAGCAGAGGCCATGACGATGTATTGAAGACACATTGGAGGCTGCATATGGTCCGGCAGGAAGATGGATGCCACAAATCTCTGTCGATGTAACACGGGTGTTACTTGATGGATTCTGTCGAAGTATATGTTGATTCTGGTCTAGTTGTTACTAAAGCCCGAGCAATGAGTCGCAGTGTATCCAAGGGTGTCTTACAATGTTTCGATGAGTTCTCGAGGAGGTGCCTCCTCATATAGACCCAACCTAACAACGGCATCTTCATCTTGGCTAGTCGGCGTGATGCCAGCATTTGCAAGATAATTACACTTGTATTGGCTGCCTTCGATGCAGGATGCCCTTGTCTCTTGCGAATCTTGGAGCAATCTCTCCAGGCGCCCTATCATGACCGAGTTCAGCAATCATTCTGCTAGAGAGTAGTGACGCCACATACCTAGTTTGGCCTCCAACTCTTTTGTCTGGCCACGGATTTTGCTTTGGTATTGTTGCCTTTATAAGGAATAAACGCAATCATAGCTTTGCTTGCTGCATCGGCTGCAGGAAGGTCTTGTACGATCACACTTCAGTTTGCTTTTCCGACAAAGAAGACAGCTAAAAGGGGCAAGAGGAGCAGCATTTCTTTCTGGCTCGTTGAATTCAATGGGATTATCGATGCTCCTGTCCATTTCTGGGTGTTGTTTGTGAATCGAAGTAGTAGAGGTCTATGTTGAAAGAGGGAGAAATGGTAGTGAGATAAAATAGTGGAGAGGGAACAGTACTCCCAATATTGAGCTTCATGCCATCTTCCCACCTCCACTAAAAGACTAAAGATGAGGGAAAAAATAAAATTTACAGAATCATCATCAGATTTCTCTTTATACTACTCCTATTTTGTTTCATGTAATTATCTAAATATGAGTGTTATGGCTCTGTTGGCTGGATCGTCATCGATTATTATCCCCCGCCGTCGGAGACATCACCATCACAAGCAACAATAATTATTCAGGGCTGATTTTAGTCATTCCTAAGCGAAGACCAACTTTGATTTATAGCTACAAGTCTGTCCCAACCATCTGATCTCGCTGCGTTTTCTACGCTTCTGTCTCTCTGTCTACACCCCCTGTGATGATTTCCCAAGCTCCAAGTCGGGTCAAAATCAAGAACGAGCGCTCAGCTAGTTCTCCTTCACTATGAGGGCGACCTCGCACTTGCCAGGCTCAAGGATGTGGGGAGAGTCGTTGTACTCGCGGGCCGGGATTCGAAGAACGACCTCGACGTGATCCTCAGCGGCCAGAACCTTGAAGGTCTGGATGCGGCAGGTGAATCGAGGGTGGTAGAGGCGGTCGTAGCCATCCTCAGTGACGCGGCAGTGCTTATCCTGTATCTTATTAGCACGAACAGCGGCAGATAGAAGAGAGTGGCTTACGAAAGCGTAGCACAGCTCCTCGCGGCAAGAGTTGAGTCGGGCAGCACGCCCATCGGTAAGACCGAGAACGTTCTTCGCCTCGACGATGTCCTTAACAACCGCCATCATGACGTCCTTGAGGTAAGAGGTTTCGGCGAGGTAATCCTGTAAATCGAGTCAGTGCTGCTGTGTACAAGGCTGTCTGTGTGGTTAGAATTACCTTCAGGGTTTGGGCGCCGGAGTGATTCTCCTGCTTGAGACGCTCGAGGAGCTCGATGATGGTCTCTCGGTTTGCAGGCATCTTGAAGTTTGATCGAATCGATCAACTAGTGGTGAATGAACGTGTCGATGTTGGTATCGAGGGCGATGTTGACTGGGTCAAAATTTAGAACTGAAATAATGCCACCGAGCCCGGCGTTTTATAGCAGTCATTTCCAGGCCCAACTTGAGCAATGCAAACCAAAAACCAGTGTTCAATTATCGATCCCAATGTCAATACCAACGAGTGGGGGCTTTTCGTTTGACTCCTCCTTTCACCACTGACAGCAATGTCGAGTCATTGGAAAGAACAATAAAGAAGAATTATGTAAGTAAGTCTGTATATAAAAGAATGTGATAATGATCAAGGACAATAACTCATCAAGGAGCAGCTGGCTTGGCCGTATTATTGTCCGTTATTTCACCCAACCCTCTTGACTCCTGACGACCTGGACTCTCAGGCGAAATAGGCCACGATTGACTGCGTGTCGAGAACGACGAGTCCCTATCGTTATCAGATGGACTCACGGGTCCAACCTGTGTCACGCTGCTCGACTTGACCGTGTCTGCTGCGCCAAGCTCTGGCGTTCTCATACTTCCACGAAGCTCCTCAGCATGAGGTCGATCGCCCTCCATCTCGTACAAGCCCTTGCCAGCATAGTATCCTCCTTGAGGAGCGTTGGCCTTCTCGATCTCTACAATTCTGAGCTGCTCTTCGACTGTGCGTCTTCGTTTCCTCTCGCGCAACCAGAGGAAGACAGCAATACCGATAAGGATGACACCAATTGCAACACCAACGCCGACTCCAGCTTTTCCTCCTGGTGATAGACCGCTGTGAGTAGGGCTCGCTGCGTCCGCTTCGTCAGATGCTTGTGCTTGCTCGGAATCGCCAGTCTCAGTTGGTGCAAGGCTCGTCCAGGTAGATTCTTCCGCGGCGGCTGTCTCTTCGGACGATGCAGTAGTGGCGACTGTTGTCGAGACCTTGAGTGTTGTCGACGTTGCTGAAGCGGTAGACGATACAGCAGTTGGGAATGATGTCGGTTCGGTAGCAGTTCCGTAAGGTTCCCAGTATTGTTCGCAGATCTTCCAGTAACTATTCTCATATTCTAGCCTCTGTTAATAATGCATTCACTTGCCGAGCCGACGACCACATACCGAATTGGTCATCTTCACTACACTTCTTGTTCGTCTTCCTTTGCTTATTTGAGAGACATTGCTCCAACGTATCAACGATGGTCTGATGATTCGGCTTATAGCACCAGCAATCGTAGTCGTCTTTGGCACAGCCAGTAGCAGCAACACTGATGTCGAAGCATCCACTAATACATTCCGGAATAGCCTCGTAGAGAGACTTTGCGTTCTTGTTGGTCATTGTAGGAAGGGTTCAGGGCAATATATCGATATATAACTTCAAGTGGATGTAATTCAAGTGGATAGAACTGCGCCTGCGCAAACTCGAATGCAAAGACGAAGACAGACAGAGACAGAGACAAAGACACGAAGGAACAAGCTAGAGAAGCTCAGACACAAGAGATTCAGGAAAGAGGATCCCTAAATAAGGATTCAGAGTTGATTTAAGGCGATCAAGACTCCATTTGGACACGAAGGATCCCCTGTATCTCCATCTCACTCCATACCGGAGGCTGTTCAATGCGCTGTATCGTCCTCAAACAGCTAATACTGGGGGTAAACCTCTTAAAGCTAGGGTCACGACTAGGCTGATAGGGCAGTGTACGCTTCAATTATCTCTCCCGTCAGCGCTACAGATGAGAATGGGTCGGAGGATCTGTTCCCTGGTAAAAAAGCAACCTCGCAATTTCAGGATCAGACTTAATTCTTAGGGCGAGCCAGGGGTATTTAGCCTTAAAAACTGGGGACCTGCGGTGTTTGGTTAAACCGTTAAAGTGGCGGAAGGGAATTTTAGACGCGAGAATTTGTAAGAATGGGAAAAGCATGTGCTAGTTACCTTAGCTAACGTTGTGAATAGTGATGTATAATAATAAGCCACATGGTTACATGTGTTAGTCAACAAGAGGCCTCGACTCGCGAGACTCGGCCTCGGAACACAAATTACGAGATAAGCGACCATGCCAAATAAATTCTGCCACTCACAAATCTAGAACGGCCCTATCGTCAGTGAAAATGGCTGTGATTGGTCAAGAAAGGTCATTTCCCCCACCAGTTGGGCTCTTCACATTGCCTTATCGGACCTTGACGGACGGAATAAAATCAACCGTTTCGTTCTAGAAAATAATGACGAGGACAGAATCTCACCTCTTGCCGTCGACATCATCAGCTTTTACATCAAAATAATTACGATAGACTCCAGAGAGATGTCGTGGTACCCGAAAAACGTGTATCCGGAAGGCTCGGGAATTGACTCCAAGACAATCGAGGATATTGTCGTCCAAGACATTATCAAGAACGATTTGACCCGAAGCGAGCAACTTGATCTCGCAACAGCTCTAACAGTTATGCTTGTGGCTGAGGCAGCTGAGGAAACCACAACAAGTGTATGTATCAAGTTTTCCTCTCATTTACCAGGAGTGAGACTGACGTTCATAGTATGAATATTATGAAGAGGATGATGAGGATGAGAGAATAAATGAAGAGGAAGAAGATGACGACGAAGAGGAGGAGGAGGAAGAGGAGGAGGAGGAATATGAAGATGTTTATGATTCAGAGGATGATGATCTCTATGATGCGTTTGACGACGTGAGCTCATATGGTTCTCTGCGCTTTCTTGTCCGCGACATGCCAGTTGAGAATGCGGAACCAGAGCCCGTCACCCGGAAACGAGCTTTAACACGCGAAGAAACGCCATGTCCTCCACCCAAGAATCCGGCAAAACGACAGAAAATAGATACATCCGCAGTATCAAAAACCGTCGAACCCCAAACTTCGGAAACGAAGGATCCGGTGGCGTCTTCTTCAGCCGGACCTGAGTGGCAACAATACGGCGGAAAGGAAATACCCAAATCACTCATCCCTAGAATGGTCCGGTCAGCTCTCCTAGGCACTCCGTTAACCTCACTTCATCCTGAGGCACAATCTTTTCTCATGGGAATCAATTTCGACCTTCCGGGCTCAAAGGATCTGGCATGCGCCGTTATCGACATGGGTCTCAGATTCTCCAAGACAGCCACGAGGAGTGAGTACAGTATTGTATTCAAGGAACTGGTCGAAAGTCAAGCCCGGATCATGATGTACAATACTGCTCATAACAACTTCGAGCTTCAGCATAAGCTTTTCTGGAACAAGGTTAAGAAACATACTGGCAAAACTATCCCTCCCGAGCGATTAGTGGAGCATCAGGCGAGAAAACGCAGACAAGTGGCTGAGATGTATGCCAGAAATAGGGCCAGACATGCAGAGGAAAACGCAAAGAAACTAGCTCTTCAAAAGAAGTTGAAAGAACAATTTGCTAAGAAGATTAGTGAAGGGGAAGCCAAGAAGTTACCTCTGGATGAGAGAGTTAAGAAGTGGTTAAAGGAGATTGTCCCGGTTCAGAAGAAATAGCACGACATGGCATGATATGGTATGAATAAGGGATGGGATTTTCAATGGAATAGGTTGCATCATGGCATTTATGAATACAAGATCTAGATACCCCTTTACATGATAGGAAACGACACAATATGTATGTATTATGGATTAACTTAGCATAAGCCACACGATATCATTCAACTCTTGACGCCACGGAGATGCAGCTTAAACGGTCCGTCAAGCTGCATGACAGCACGCTATAGTCGTGAGTCTGGTGACAGAACATGACTAGATGGTACTATAATCGGGCAAAGTCTTGAATATCTGCCCATTATAAGAGCGGTCAACTACAAAGGATTTCTATCTTTTTGTATTTCTACAAATCTACGCCATATATCATCAGCCCTAGTTCGTGTTCGTATCAAGCGAGGTTCGCTTGATCAACATTAAGAGAGTCCAGCCGGTCGATTTGTCGACCCACCAGCAAATTGAGACATTGAAACTTATCGATTCGCTGTCGATCACTGGGCAAAAAATAACATTCTCTGAAACACCACATGTGCAGTTGGTGTGTGGAGTCGAAACAGGCTGAGTCGTGTGTGCATGCAGAGTCGTCCCGAGACAGAAATAGCTGCGGAGAGTCCCATTTTGCTGGCTGTGAGAGACTCAAGGCCAGACATTAATGCAGCGTGAGAGCAGAGTGCTGTGGCCCGGAGGGCTCGGGAGACATTGACATGGTTGATGAATAGTGCTGATCACATCTTTTGACGATAAACTCCAACGGACACGGAGTCTTACAGGGTACGATACGGATACTACGGGATAAGATAGATCTCAGTATGTATCATAGTCTGAACGCTGGAAGCTGAAAAAGAGCCCCAGGTTTTGGGTCTAGATTCTACCGAACAACCACCCCACGTTGGCGGATGCGCTTGAGTAGAGTCCGCCTTGGCCTAACAGTTTTGAAGCCACCATCAGCTCAGTTGAGAACATTCGTTATTCAGCGGTCAAGCTCACTACATTTCACGATACCATTGTACAGCGTGTGAGTGAATAGAAGCGGTCAACTTGATCAATTGAGAGAAAGAATCTTCAACTTTTAGAGTCCGTCTCCAACGGAATGAGTTTTGACCAGGAGATGCGCAATGCTTCATCGTCATCTAGCCCCTCGACGTACGTACGTATGTAAGTGGCTTTTTTGGGGGCGGGCCATAAAGTACCTGTACATAAAAGTTCCCAAATGCTGCGCCAAAGAGAGAGCCAAGGGCTTACCGAGATGGGCAGGTCAAGCATCGATCGATACAAGGACCCCTATCAAATATCTACAAGTCATCAACAGCCACTGAAGCAGCCAGATTCACAGGTCTCATAGGTTTCAGGCTCATCATGGATGAGGTGCTGACGTCGATTTGTTTAGCGCCCGTTGGTCCAAGAGCCCGTTGAGTGGGTGATGGCCCATGACATTTCGGTCATAAACTTGGAATGCCCTGGTAGTAATGAATTAATTAATCATAACCAAGGAAATTATAATTGAGCTCTCTTTATTTCGGTCTCGGGGTATTGACTGTCAGACATGCCGAACCATGAGGCATGAGGTACGTAGATGTTTTTTTTTTTGTTGATGTCTACAAGGCTAAGATCTCCGCCCAATGGACCGGTAACAGGAGATGGAGGAGCTTGTTCTGTAGCTTGTTTAGGTTTGAGCGAAGTGGTTGGCTGGGAGCCACTGGAAGTTGGCAGGTTGCAGCGGGGACAGCGCCTAAATGGGTATCGCATGTACCGATACTTGTTCTTTTGGTTGTCTCAGGAGCCCACCCACATCCATCTAGGCTCTTTCATCACAAGCTGGCTTGGTCTGGTGTGTGCGACGCCGTTTCCAAGGTTTCTTCTTTACTTTCGTATCTTCAAAGCCCTGCACTCGACGGACTATTTGCTTTCTCAACATTTCTTCTTGTATATTCTCTTCCTAGAATTACCGTATCTTACCTTCCCCGCAGCTCTTACTTTCAATTGTTCGTCATCTTATGAGCTTACATCGCTATAGAGTTTGCTTCAACCCCCTATAAACCGGAGTCCTTCGTCGCTGCCGCAACCGATACCGTCACCATCGCACATGTGGTCCTAAACAGAGTCTAGATTTCCGCTTCGACTCTCCTCCTCCCTCTCCCTCTCCGCCTTAAACATCGACTATCGAACCGCAATGGACGCCGATATCTTCGCACGAAGTGGCGGCCTTGGCGGCGACGCGAGCGATCGACCTGGATTCTATAAGCCCGTTGGTATTGGTTTGGCTGTTGGCTCTGGTGTCTTTATCGGTATCTCTTTCGTCCTCAAAAAGGTTGGGCTATTGCGCGCCAACGAGAAATACAATGAGGTTGCTGGAGAAGGGTATGGATACCTCAAAAACTTCTACTGGTGGGCGGGCATGACACTTATGATCATTGGCGAAATCCTCAACTTTGTCGCATATGCCTTCACCGATGCAATCCTCGTCACTCCTCTGGGCGCATTGTCCGTTGTTATTACAGCTATTCTTTCAGCCATTTTCCTCAAAGAGCGCCTCAGCATGGTCGGAAAGGTTGCTTGCTTCCTCTGCATTGTCGGCTCGGTTGTTATTGTTATGAATGCTCCCCATACATCATCCGTCAGCGATATTCAAGAGATGCAGAAATACTTCATTACACCAGGGTTTCTCACCTATGCCGGCCTTATTATAGTTGGGTCTATCGCCACTGCACTATGGGCTGGGCCGAGATATGGTAATAAGAATATGTTGGTCTATATCTCAATCTGCAGCTGGATTGGTGGACTGAGTGTCGTATCGACTCAAGGACTGGGTGCTGCTATCATTGCTTGGATTGGCGGCAAACCTCAATACAAGGAATGGTTCCTATGGGTTTTATTCGTCTTTGTCATTGGGACATTATTGACGGAGATCATTTATCTCAACGTATGAGCCCAGCTCTCAATTCCGTCTCAGTCACTAACAACTCATCACAGAAAGCGCTCAACATCTATAACGCAGCCCTCGTTACACCGACATATTACGTCTACTTTACAAGTACGACTATTATCACGTCAGCAATTCTTTTCCAAGGTTTCAAGGGCACTGCCCAGTCTATCGTCACCGTTGTTCTAGGTTTCTTAACAATTTGTTCGGGAGTAGTGTTGCTACAGCTTTCAAAATCCGCAAAGGATGTGCCCGACGCAGCAGTCTTCAGCGGCGACCTCGATCAGATCCAGACTATTGCCGAGCAGGAACAGCCAGAGTCGGAACCCAAGGCCGATGCCATCCGCGGAGCCGCTGCCATCGTGCGACAGATCTCACAGCGACGACTTAGAATGGAAGCCGAAGAGCTCAAGCGACTCCACGAGGAAAAGATGATGATGGACACAATGGACCCTATCCGAGAGGATGGACAGCAGCCAGAGTGGGAATGGGATGGCTTGAGAAGAAGACGAACAATGACTTTCAGGACCGGAACGATTAGCAGCTCTAGGGCAGGATCAGTCACATCGCCTCCGCCACCGATGCCGCCCACCTCACCCCGTTTTGCTGTAAGACCAAGCAGTCCAAGACAACATCCACCTTTAGGCATGTCGCAGTTTCCACCGGTCGAAGACGAAGACGATAGCGACGATGACAACAACCGCCAGGAAACAAACACACTCTTCTCTAGCATTGCAGGTACCATTCGAGGTAGAGCCCGAGGCTTTACCAACTTCTCAGGCCGACACGCCAACGACGATCATGAAGACGATAAACCCCGGCCCCGCAGCCCGATGCACCCGGTACCCCTGACTGAGATTGCCGTCCCCCGGGATAAGGCCGACGAAGAACACGCCGCTTACTATGGTCAAACTCGGGAGCACGAGTATAATGGACAGGATACTGAGTACCGAGGGGCGTCATTCCGAAGTGGTGACAGCTTAGCGCCTCCGACGCCCCCGCCTCATGGACAACCTCAGGATACGACACGACGTCAGTTTTCATTCCATAATGTGTTCCGGCGGCCTCACTCATCGTCTAGATCAACATCACACGTCGCGGACCCAACGGAGGAAGAGCGGGCCGGACTCGTCAAGGACGCTAGCCAGCCGGGCCCAGCTTTTCTCTAGGGGCAAATCTGATGGGTAATGTCAGCATTCGGGGTGGTACTTTGAGTAAGGTGGAAAAACATGCATTTGCACGGCGTTGTTGGTGTTCTCTTTTTTGGATTACTGGGCTCGCTTGGTTGGGTTATCCGGTTGCATAGCGATTGTATAATGTCGTCACGCCTGGGTTAAGTAGGGTATAGACATGTCTTGGACGGAGCGCGAGCTTGATGACTACCTTTATATACAAAGCTGCTGTGGGACATGATGGCCGGGTCGGTGGAGGATAGGAACACGACATGATGAATAAAGATCAGTTGTATACGTTAAAAGATATAGTTTATGAAACCACTGGCTGCAGCACTGGAATAGTACGAGTGACAGTAGATGATTAGGAGGAGAATTGCCGTTATTACTTTCATGAATTCATTCAAAACGTTACGCTATACAAGCCCAAAACATCTCTGGAATTGGCCTCGGAACACCTGAAACTCCAAGCATTCAATATGATATCAATCAAAAGACCTCCAATCCGCTTATTCTTAATTTTCACCGAGATTTGCTTTCTCTTCTACCAATCAGCAGCCCAACCGTTCTGTTCGAGGAACTCCTCGCACGCTTGCTTTAATGCCAGGTTTGGCCGTAACTCAGAAGGCACAAGTGGCTCGCGAGTGAGAGGATCACTATGATGTCTGTTGAGGTGCTCCATGATAGACGCACGTTCGTATGACTTTCCAGTCTTGGTCTGTGCCTTGTTAGCAAACGTGGCATTCAATCCTGGTGAATAACTTACCATGACGGGATCAACCATGAATCCAAAGCTGATATCGTCAATCGCCCAGTCTGGAACCTCTCTTCTCTTCTCGCCATCTGCCCTTGCTCTTTCAAAAATCTCCTTCATCCTCTCAATCTTGGCATCGCTCTCCTCCTCAATTTCCTGCCTCACCATCCCATCATCCGTCTCCGCCAGCATAGCCTCTTTGTCCCTGGTCAATAATTCAAGCATCTCCCTTTCAAGATCTTGCGATTCGCGAACCCGCTTCTTCTCGAGATCATCCCAGCGCTCTTTCTTGCAGCGAAGAACGAGACTCGTCACAGCAGCGAGCGAGCGATCTCCCGTAGCGGCGCACAGCTTGTGCGCATGCAGAGCGTTTTCAAGCGCGGCGTCATAGTCGCGAAGAGCGATCTGTGCTTGCGCAAGGTAGTACCGGGCTTTCATGTTATCAGGCGTTAGCTGCAAACAAGCTTCGCAATCGGTGATTACTGAGTCCCAATAATTAAGCTTAAGACGGGCCATGGCGCGATTGGTGTAAAGAGCTGGATTTTTGGGGTCGGCGATGATGCTATTGCGATCTTTGTCAGAATAAGCCCTTGCTCTGAGCTGCGCTGATTATATGTGCTCACGCTTTGGAGTAGAGGCTATCGGCGCCGACGTAGTCCCCCGCCTGGAAACATTTGTTCCCTTCATTCTTGAGCTGTAGCGACTTAGACATGTTGAGTCAAGTGCAGTGCGTGAGACTGGGGTGAGTGGTAGTAAGATGTGGTAAGATTGGACAGTAATTTATGTCGTAATGGAGGATTCGTTAAGGATGGCGATTCTGTATTTCGGATGCTCGGACAAGAGAACTCCGTATCTATAAAGGCGCTGATATTATGAACGCAAAGAAAAAGGAGAATAAACTGCACAACAGAGCCAAGAAATGAGGAACAGAATAAAGAGAGATCGCAGTGTGAATGTGCAGAAAGCGAGGGAGCTGGGCTGTTCACTCTGGAAGCAGAAGCTGAAGCAGGGAGTTACTGGAAACAGCGAGCGAGCCACAATGACACACGTACGTTACGTTAGTTACTCAAGTAGAGGAGAGAAGAGCAAAGGACCCTTGATTTTAGAAGGGTTTGATAGAGCTTTTGATTGGATTTCTAAGCGCGTGTTCCCTGGAAAGTTCGAGAAACAGGCGGGACAGTTTAACTCATTGAGGCCTAGAAATTGCGGGGTGAGTCTCTTCATCATGAGAACCAAGTCATGATAGAAACATATTCATATAAAAAAAAGAATCAAAAATGCATATATTGCTCAAATCCACATACCCAATCTATCGTGACTTTCTTTCCCAGTCATCTGATTCCGCCTCTTGCAGAATCTGTGTCTAAATGCCAATGTCTAAAGCAATACCATGTCATATCATGTCATGTCATGTCGTGTCGTGTCCTAAACTCCCCCAAACTCCGTATAATACGCCAGCAAAAGAAGTGGTCCAGCCACCTTAACTTCTTTCTTACATCTCCACCAAACGCACAACCAAATTCTCCTTTGGTCGCAGTGTAAAAGCCGGTCCAGCGACTTCAACCTGCTTCTCTTCGTTTCCAAGAGGTTTCTCGATCTTGAACTTTCGCACCAGCTCGACAAGCATGATCTTCATCTCCATCATGGAAAGCTGCTTGCCGATGCACATCCGCGGGCCGTTGTGAAACGTCTCGAAGGCGTAGGCGCTTGTCGCGTCACCCGTGAGATCGCTCCAGCGGCCAGGGTTGAACTCCTGCGCGTCTGGGCCCCAGACCAGAGGGTGTGTGTTCATCACCGCGGGCGAGAGTTGGATCACGGTTCCTTTGGGGATCATGATACCGTCGATTTCCACGTCGCTGGTCGCTTGGCGAGGTGCCATGGCCACTATAAATACGTTAGCTAATCAATTTCCTAATGTGAGGGGTGTTAGATGTGTTACTTGCCTGCGCAGTAAAGTCGCAGAACTTCGCGCACAAAGTTGTGCAGATACGGGAGTTTGTCGATGTCGCTGAAATCAGGCATGCCGCAAGTGCTGTCCATGTTTCCGATTTCATCTCTCAGACGCTGCTGGCAGTCCGGTCGGCGTGAGAGCTCGTGAACGGCCCAGGTGATGGAGCAGGCTGTCGTGTCATGTCCAAGGATCAAAAGATTCAAAATCTATTACAACAGTTAGCACAATCCACAACATTCGGAATTCAGGGTGACTTACATATTCAACGATATTCTTATCGTTCCAATCAGAGTCGGAGTGTTCCAACAAACACTGAAGGGCGTCTCGGTTCCTTTCTTTGCTAAGGCACTGTTCGCTCTGGCTACGTCGAATTGTCATCAAACCTACAATGAACTCCCGAACTCGGGTACAGCTTTGAGAAAACTCAATGCATTCTTTCATGGGTACAAACTGTCGAATCGGGATTAGTGAGTTCAAGTAGTTGATAACATGGCCAAACGTCGAGGGTTGCATCATCTTGGTGAAGGTGTCAAACAAAGGAGACTCGTCCGATTCGAGGTGGTTAAGATCAATGCCAAAAGTTTCGAGTCCAATCACGTCGAGGACTGCTTTCCAAATATTGCTCTCAACTATAGAATTGTCAGCTCAGTCACACAAAAAGGGGGGTTTTTACTTACTTTCAACGTTACCGTGTTCGTTACGTTGTTGGGTCAGTACATCGATCAGTTGTTCGGCCTTTCTCTGAACAATAGGGGCGAAGGCTCTAAGTCGTGGAGCCGAGAACGGTTCTAAGAAAAGTTAGCATTGGTCTCAATTGGTGCCGGGATTGATTGTACTTACGACTGATGGCTACTCGACGTAGCTTGTGAAGCTTGCCTTCGATGAAGGGAAGTCCATCGCCGATGATTTCATGGGCGAACTGCTTCGCAAAGGCGGGCTTCACAAAATACGAGCTCTTCGTCTGAAGGACCTGCTTATATGCCTCGATACTGTTTACAAACAGTGTTTCGCCGCTGGCAAAGTTCAAGTATCGAATAAGGGGCGCCTCGGGAAACTCGCGGGACCACTTGCAAAAGAGTTCAGGAAACCAAGGAACCTGAAGGAACTTTGCAGTCTGTCCAAGAAAGAAGGCATTGTCCTGTTATCAATGTTAGCAACATGATACGGAAACGAAGGGCGAGTTTACTTACTGTTGGTCCGGGAAGATATCGAAGAGGGGATACATAGAAGGGATATACAAAGACGTTAAAGGCGATTGTTCCCATCAAGAGCATACCCAAGATAATCAATCCCATGGGAATAGAAGGCGTCAATGGAAGCACTGACGGCATCGTCATCGAAAAATAGAACGAGTCGTACATGTTGTACTCTCGAGCGAGGTCGTTAGGGCGAGCGGAAATAACCAAGATATGAAGACGAAATGGGTATCAATCAAAAAGCAGCAAGAATGGGATTGTTAGAAGAAAGGAAGAATGACAAAGCTATGAAGGAGGCCAGGAAATCGATGTATATTATGGTAATTATTGCACTGGCAGCTGTTATTCAGTGTCCGCGCAACTGGCGGGTGGCAACCACTGCGAGACGGCTGGCGAACATGGACGGAACATGTTGCATTGAGTTGACGTCTACGGTACGGACGAGATCAAGGCCCCGAACATCGAACATCGGGCGTTTCTATATAGAGTTGTGGCACAGCCTTTTCCAGTGTTTGGTAGGTTATGCCAGGTGGTAGATGGGGGCCGAAGCTTTGCTGTCGATACATATAGCGAATACTACATCGAAAACAGGCTGATCACATTACCAATTCGGAGAACATGCAATGGTACGTTGTCTATATCCGCTGTCACTCGAGTCTAATGCCGTGGCAATTTCCGAACAGCGTCGAAAGGGGTATCTTGGTTTCTCGGAACGATGCTCGATGAATACCCTTCTGGGACGATGCGGTTTGCCGATGCATTGGGACCTTGCTGTCAAAGCTCTACAAACATGGATTTACAAACGATATGAGCTAATCTATTAGACACTGTAGATTACCGAGATCATCTGTGCTGTAGCGAGTCGTGGCGCTCAAGCGATGATACCTTGGACCTGAAGATCTTCAACATGGCTTGCTTTGACCTACAGTAGTGGTCAAGTTATAGAAGATTTTGCTCAGCCTTGCAGTTCGTCTCACAGATCTTTCCGTTACATGTCACGAGGAAAGCCACTTACATTTTTCCCGTTGGTTGTGTGACATGATAGCCTTACCGACTTTTCATGTTTGTATCAATTCGTTGGTGTTGTTCGTTTCATGGGGTTCTGACGTTTGAATAATATCCGGAAGGTCATTGTTCGTGCAGATGACATGGATCTCGAATTGATCAATTATACGAGCTTGGGTATAAGTCGACATATCTTAGTAATCATCATCATTATCCAGGATTGTCGGTTTGACATGTGAAGTGTCAAGACTCAATGTACCCAATCAGTGTGCACATCAGCTTTGAGAGTATAAATAAAACCCTTGTGTATTCTGGCGGAAGAACGGCAGACACAGCCCATACTAATGCTGACTACTCATGGATGCTCGTGACAGTCTACCTCGACTTTGTGTCATCTTGGGCTATGAGATTTGTGTTCCCTCTGATGGGGTCCTAAAGCCACCGCTTTTTATACAGATGGATAGGAATTTGGAAGTTGAGCTGCTATCCGTCTGGTCTGTACGACACTGTCTTGCATAATCTTCAAGATGAAGATCAATACCATGCAGATAGACATAATAAAATTGATTGATGTATGTAGCTGTTTTTACATACCTTAATTTGGCCATGTCTGGACTCATGGCCATAAGTCCGAGCATAATAGACATATGAAAGTATCCTATATCGTATCCCATTCATAAACATATGATTCTCATATATAGTAGTCGTCATCGTCACATCTTCCCTGGGGTATCCTCATGCCATTCAAAACCCCAACCCAACGCCGTAGCCCAAGACAATCCTCCCAAAGAAATTATTAACTGATCCCCAACCATTCGACCATCTTGTCCACAGCTTGCCTGCCCTCTTGAATGGGTAGAATAGGCCACACGTGAATCATGCCCTCTCCATACACCAGCTCAACCTTTGTGCCTTGCTCCTTGGCCATCTCAACCATCTTCTTGGTATCAGGAGTCAAGAGATCCAAGCCAGCTGCGAATACCAACATCGGCGGTAGTCTCAGATCTCCGTAGATGGGGCTAACATTAGGATGCTGAGTATCCATCTCTGGACAGATGAGTCTTGTAATCTCGGCGATGCCAGGGACGTCCAGCCATGGATCCTTGAGCGCTGCATTGTGAAGTTCAGGATTGACGAGACTGGAATCAGTGCAAGGCGTGATAGGCACAATTCTCTGTGCAGTCTGTTTACCAGCCAATTTTGCATTCTGCGTGAGAACGAGAGACATGGTTCCTCCAGCTGAATCACCAATGACCCAAAAAGGCGTCCGGTCTGGTGCAGATGCGAGTTCGTCGTGGAGCGGCTGCACGAACTCATACATCTTCATAAGCGACGTCTCAGGGCCAAGCGGGTATATGGGCACGGTAACAGTAGCATTCAGACGTCTCGCAAGCTGAGCCACAAGTTCCCAGTGCTGAGGCGTGATGTCAAAGACGAAGCCACCGCCATGAAGATACAAGATTCGACCACGAGTTGGCGTCTCTGTTTTTGGGGAGACTATGTAAACGACATAATCCGCAATGTGGCCTTTTCTCTTGTATTCTTCAACGGCGAATTCTTTGTAGAGATGCTTGGGAGGTACACGCTCAGGACGAAGACGTTCCTTGGCGATGCGGTTGTTGATTCCCTCCGCTGAACTCCATGTGCTCTTGAACCACCACCAGATGATCCAACTAAGGATGCGAGCTTTGAAGCTGGGCATTGCTGACTGAGATGGAGTTTATGAGGGTATCACGGGAGTGGGAATATGCAAAGACTGCATAGACAATGGATGTTAAGGTCTACAGCTACAGCTGTCATTATGCGCTGGCGGGTTTTTTCTGTGGAGGGGAATATGGGTACGGATAGTCATGGGTGGTTGGTGGTGAGGGGTCTACGGTCTACACCGCTATAGTATGGTATGGCGCAAGTTGTTGAGAGGACTGACATCTCAACGAATACTGCAGCATTGTTACACAGCATGGCCAAGTATTTCTGTGATCAGTTAGGTTATTTGCCGTGTGAGTTGGCTTGTAAGACAATGGAATTAAGTGTCGTGCTATCTCGACGATCCAGGGTAGTCAGATATCGTGACCTCAAGCCGAGGCAAACCAACGATCATGAATTGTTAGGTAATCGTACATATTCTTTACAAGCTTCAACCTGTCCCTATTAATATTGCTTGACAATCGCTGCAATAGTCCGCCAGTTATTGCAGATAATCCGATCGACCAAACGGATGAAGCCCTTTACTCACCAGTCTTAACCCCATAGTGATCACCATATGTTTGCTGCAGTTGCATTGCCAGAAATTATCAGATCATGCTCGCATACACGCATTCACATTCAGCTGTCACAAGGAGCCCTTTGACCCGGGAGTCCGGAGATGTAAGAGTGCTACTTTAACACAGGAACAAGACGGACATGAACAGTCTATTGTGCCAGTATAAACGAGAACGAGAACGAGAACGAGCCTTTGTTCATACCAGTAAAGAGCGTTGTATCAATCTTGATCATCCGCATCTTGATACTCATCGCGATGATTGATAAAATGTGGTTGAAAACAGGGTTATGACTGTCATGACTAGTGTCGCCTAGCTTTAAATATGGAAGTGATCTTCGAAAGCTGGACAAGATGAATTGTGATGCTGCATGGGCAAACGTGCATGGAAAAGTCTAGGCGTTGGACAGTCGCTGAAGGATCTCGCTTACAATGACCCTTTTTTTCTTTGCTTTTTGTGAATTGGGGTCTGATTGAGGTGACATTTAACGGTTGGATGTGTATAGTAAGACGGGCGAAGGGATATCTTCAGTATCTACAGAACTGGCAGTCAACTCACTTCACACACTTTAGTAGTTACGTCAGTAGTTCATTCTTAAGACCATGAATTATTCAGTGAACAGTATAGTGAGTGTACTGTATACAGTAACTAGTTGATCCCTAAACCTCTTGTTCACAAAATAACCGCCAGTATCACACCTCTCTTCAACTTGTATGCCCAATAGAATCAAATCCTCACCCTTAAACTCTCAAACCACCTCCGCATTTCAAGTTCAACTAGTGCAAGCCCAACCGAGCCATCCTCTACAGTCCTCTAACCTCTGCAGTACAGTAGGGCCGCCTACTCTGATTGGTAAATTGCACGTGCACACACTTACATAAAATCAGAGCCTGACCTATGACATCCCTGCCATTAGCATTTGCTGGTTCCGGGTTTTCCCCTCCCTCGTCTCTCGTCCTCCACAAAAAATCGACGTCAGTGACTACGATTAAACCGTTGCTCTTCCCCAGACTGTCACTGTCACTGTTTCTTCTTCATACTCTCGACTCCACTTCTTCATCCCATTTCCACCAAGAAACAATTGAGTCACTTTACTACGACGGTTGATCACAAAACACAAACAACACCAATAATTAGGGACTGGCTCTCTTTCAACTACGCATACATCGACATTATCGCGAACAACTCGGCTTAGCTCGGACCGTCGCTCGGCTACTCCGTCGACTTCTACCGCCAACCTCTCTCCATTACATCACATCATATCAAACCGTTAACCTCACGATGCCTTCACAACGACCGTATTTCCTCTCTTCTTTCCTCGCCGCCTTCCGTCCTCAAGGCCCCTCTATCTCTACTACCTCTCAACATCAACATCAGCCAAACAAGCACACCCGAGATACAACGACGACCACAGCTGCCACAGCAACTGCAGCAAGCACAACTGCGACTTCTACCTCTACGTCACATCATCATCAGTCTCAGCAACAACCAACCACTTCCAGTGTCGCCATCCGTCCACCCCGAAACACCACTTCTTCCTCACCGTCAACATCAACATCTCCCGTCAACGGCACCGCCATTCCTATTCCTGGATCATCTGGTCGACGTGGGAGCGATAGCAGCAGTGAAGGGTTCCGCGATGTGATAGGTGCCGACAAGTGGTACATCGGTGGGCGCACACCCGGCGGTGAAGAGAAATTCTTCAAGCTTGGCGTCATCCGCCGTGTGAGAAGTAATGATGGCTTAAGTTTAGATCGTCTAAGCTTATAATGCAACGCATGATTATTTTTATGAGACTTTTTACGACTACTGGACAGGGCAGGGAAGATGTGTGTGCATCACTCATTGCATGAGAAGCCTCTTTGGTACATAACGCACGAACGTCACTTATGCATGAATTTGGGTTGCTCGATATGAAACTGGGTATGATTAAGGCTACGGATAGGTCTGGATACGGGCCATGGATACGGCGTTCAGTGTTTGGGTATATTTCACATATGGCATGAAATGAGTTCCCAGCGATATGAGGGCCACATGCCTGTCAAGACAAAAATACAAAAAGAGTATCTTTTGCAACCATATCTCTCATATCCTCTTCACCTTGTGTCTACCACATAAATCTTTGAAGTCGCCCGTCGTCCAGCACAGTCCCATCTTCTGCCTTCCATACGTAAGGCTTGGTGAGGAAAATATAGCCTGTTGCGACATTGATAGCGATGAACCAGACCGTCTCAACGATAAGACGCAGATCGTAGTGTTGAAAGAACTCAAACAAACGCCTGGTCTTTGGGTGATTTGAGAGTCTAGTAGCAACATCGCTGTAACCACCATGGTCATGAAGTCTCCACGCAGGCACAAGCAGCCTCCACATCACCCAGGGGATGATAAAATATCGTGGCTCTACTAGCGGAGCCGTCATGAGTGATAAGGTTGTGGCGAGCAAAAAGATGAGGCCCGTCGATGTTGATGCTGGGATAACGGAAGCCAGAAGAGGATCCTCTTCTAAAGCCTTACTCAGTTCTTGATCCTTGGAAGCGTCTTGAGAAGTCTCCGTTATCTCAGCCGGAAAGGCAGCATAAGTTTGTCTTGGTGAGAACCCCACGTTAGTCACCATAGGATGACTCAGGAAGGGAGGATTTCCTGTTCCATTCCCATATACAGAACAGGCACGTGTGTGAATAGTAAAGAATCGTGAGCAGCCAGCGACAGTACCCCAGGTCATCCACCGAGATAAGGTATATGGGACAACCAAAGCGTATCGAATCCAAGAAGCCCGTCGGATGGTGTATCGAAAAATGTAGAACATGTAATGGCGGTTGTCAGCCAGAGTGAAAGGGTGGATAATTGTGTTGTAGCGAACGATGGCGAGTGAGAGTAGGATGGTCGCAAGGAGGTAGAGGGGCCATAGGATAAGTTTAATCCCAAAGATGAAGCTGGCGATTTCCAGTGGCTTCGATGGTCGTGGGTATTTTCTGTCCGAGCTGCCAGTCGCTGAGTCCTTGGCAGAGCTACCCGACCTTCGTGACTTGCTGAATGAAAGTGAGGCCGGCTCTGCACTGGTCTCTGTCTCAGGGGCTGGTTTGCTAGTTGGTGTAGGCGATCCGGCATGTGGGAGTATTCGTAGTACCATGTTTATTATGGGCAGGGCATATGGTACCAGAAGTGGCAGAGAGAAGAAAGCAAAGAAAGGCCAGATGTAGAGTATCTGTGGGAGGTGGATAGTAGCAACATGGTTGGATTTGTCACCTTGTGTCGTTAGCCACAGACTTGGCACGATGCGATGGAAGAACTTACCAAGGACAACACCACCGTTCCATGCTACGAAGCCACCAAATGAGACAAGGACAGAAACATAAGGCCATATATTCCTAATGACACGGATTGGGTTGCAAATCGCTGCGATTCCCAGGCTCAACACACAGAAGAGCATATCTGATATTCAGTTAGTGACAAGTTAACCTGTAGGAAAGAGTTGATTTACCATCTGGCCACACCATGTGCAGCGGGGGGTCATGAATATCTCCAAGAGAATACCTCCAGGCAAAATACTTGATCTGCTCAAAGAGTGTCAAGATAACTGGTTGATCAACCTGCTCTGGGCGCAACGTCTTGACAGCATGGACAGCTTCCAGGCCACCCATATACACAACTACCCAGAAGACATTGGTTTGACGAAAGAAAAGCGTGACAACTCCAAGGAATATTGTTGTTAGATCGTTCGGGACGGAACTACGATCTCGACCAATGCGCTTCAAGTGGTTCAAGTACGCGACCAGAACGGCTGCAGTTGATGCAACATCGGTGTAGTAAAGTCCAGAGAAGAAGAAAAGAAGCGGAAATAGGGCGATGTTGAGTGCGGTGTGAACTGCATATTGTGAAGTATTGCGTAGCCTGGTCGAGGTATGAGCTTCATAGAGACGTGCCTCGATCTCTCGACGGCACTTCAGGACCAAGAAGGCGAGTATCGTCAGAACAACAACGTTGGTAGCTCGTAGACTCTTGACGTCGCAGAGATATCCACCCAAGGAACTATTAGGACGGATAACTCCAGGTGTTATGAGAGAGAGAAGGTAACTGTACTGTGATCAGATTTGCATAGAGGCAGAGAAGCGCGTGAAATTTACAGGCCTGGCGGTGTCGTAATCTTGTCATCCCACTCTTGGAATCTCCCCTGGCAGTATTTCTGCGCCTGTGGTATATGGAATACTTCATCCTAACTTAAGTTAGCATACATGCAATGAGTAGTGATGTTAAACAAAACATACCAGGTAAGGCTCAGGGACCAGTGCTGAGATGAGATACAACCAAGAGACAGAAGCGGCAGAAAGAGAATAAAAGAAGAAACCCTTTAAACGCGAGTTCGGGCCTGAAGAGTCCTTGAATCGCCAGAGAAAAAAAGGTAGCGCAACGATGAAGGCTGCTACTGTCCTGTATCCTTGAGATAGCTCCATCTTGACAAGTGTTCACGAGCAGTTTGCTGAACACGAGAAAGAACGGTGTTGGAAGGGTCAGAAAGTTCTCATAGCATGAAGAAGTCAAATATTTGCGTTAAGAAAGATTAAAGTAACAAAAGGTGAAGTATAAATGAAAGGCGAAAGTCAGCTTGAAATTGTATAAGACGGGCAAATTGTACATGTAGGAGAGAGAACAGTGTTTCGCAGTGAGTTAGCTGCACTGTCCTTTAATGAGTGGAACATCCAACAACAACCCCAAATGATTGAAAGCAACATGTGACAGCCCAAGGATATTATAGACTACAGCAGCGATAAGAGTCACTCTATTCAGCCCCTTCATGCCGTTACAGGTTTATTCTCTTTGACATGACTTCCATAAGGTGGTGGGTATGTCTCTGCCTGCAAGTTAACCACTTAAACATCAACCAATCACAGGCCGTACATTTCACAGCAAAATTCAAGGCTCAGAACATGTCTATTGGAATATCTTATACAAGGAGAGCCGGCACGGGCACTGAACAACGTCTATCTTCCCCAAATCCACCAGATAATTTAGAAAGGCTATACAGACTATTAGTAACCAGTCCCAATGCTTCGTATCATAGTCAAGACTTACGTTGTCGGCGGGGTGGATCTCCTTTCGGAAGTAGTTGCCAAGGAAAGGAATCTTCTGTATAGGAATTAGGATCGTGGCCAAGAGGAGTCGAGAGAAGTTCGTTCGTACCTGGAGAACGTCGCGCTGCACACGGGGGATACCGTTGGCGAAGAGGAGGACAGCAACAGCGGCGGGGGCACCGTACATAGCCAGACGGGAGCCGCTATAACCCAGTCAGTTCTCATCCACAGCATAACGATCGATCGTTCAGCGAAGTCTCTAGTCCAATTCCAATCTCTCATCCGTCATGTCCATCTCAGCCGCGGTTGATCATTCCAAGACTTCGGAGAAACGGAAGGGAGACGGAAACTCGATTCGCTTGCAATTCGGTTCTCGATCGTATTTTCGGCTCAGAGTTGTGCACTTACATTCGGAAGGCAGCCTGTGGGGTGATGCCAGCAACGTTGGGCTGAGGATGGTACCTATTCTAGAGTATTAGCCAACGTCACTACTCATATCGACCCTTGCGTTGCATCTCGAAAGTCGTAGTTGGCTTGTGCTTCAACAGGGCGCTTCGAATTCGACATTCGGTAATCGTAGACTGATGTAACGTACTTGGGACCATAGTTGCTCTTGAATTCCGACATGCGGATGGGAGTCTGGTGAGAATCAGGTCAGTCGATTGTATGCTTCGTTAAAGATGCCTCGAGCCATTCGTGAATATTTGTAGCTCGTTCTCGGCGGTCGTATCGAAGGGTTCGGACGTACGTAGGAGACCATCTTGAATTGTAGGGCGGTGGAAGCCTGTTTCGTCGTTCAATTGCTCGTCAATGTCGTCGTCGTAAAAGAAGGCCTTGGAATTGGTTGCGCGAGTTTGCCGAACGGGAAAGATCGGGGTTGTTTGGCCTCAGGCCTAAAAGAAGCTCTGCCACAGCCGACCAATAATAACCCCGACTAAAGGCCCACTTTGACTTTCGAGCTTTGGTCTGCTATAGCAGCCTTGTCGTGGACCTTTCTTTTATTTACTTTCATTGATATCACTTGGTACTAGAGATTCGCATTCACAAACCACGATCCTGTGATGGACAAATATATCGATGGTCGCTTTGAGCGACTAGAGAAAGCTCTCGCAAATCTAATTGATTCGGTCACGAAATACCATCCCTCTATACAGCAAGGAGATGAGCTCAATGCAGCTGACCAAGAACTAAGCAAAGGCTTGGAAGAAGGTAATTCATATGACATAGCCAGCAACGAACATTTCGGCTAATCTACTTCTCAGTTCAAACTCACCAGAACAATTATTTACGTATTCAACAACTGCGCGAATCTTCAGCCACCCTTGATACGCAGATCCGCGACACTCTTTCGAATCTAGCGACTACTCGCAAGGATATTGTGACGACGCAAACCACCACGTTTCCTTCTGGCCCCAGCTACCCCATCGCCTACGAAGAACTGCTCAATTATGCTCGACGTATCAGCAAAACGACTATGCCCCCAGCAGGCACCATCAAAGCCGTCCCACCGACGCCAGATGTGCCAGAAGTTCAAACTCCAGGCGGTCAAACACCAGCCGCCCAGACTCCAGGACCCGAGTCGCAAGCAGCTTCAGTCATGACACCATCTGCGCCTCCATCGTCTCAAGTTCAAAGCCCGGCAGTTATGAATGGCACACCCGTCGTCTCCCAGGAACCTGCGACTCAGCAGTCCTCTATGTCGGCCAACACCGTCCTGCCCAGCGAGTGGACACAGTTCTTGAACCCCTTGACCGACCAGATCTTCCTCCCTTGGCCAAACGACCTTCAGCTTGGCGCTGGCTCCCTGGCTGCTAACCAGCTCCTCCAGGAGCAGGGCATCGACCCCAAGGGCTACGATCCAGCCGAGGAAGAAGAACGCAAACGTCGTGAGGAAGAGGAGAGAAAGCAGAAGGAAGAAGAGGACCGTATTGCCCAGGAAGAGCGCGAGAAGAAGCAACGCGAAGAACGCGAGCGCCAGCGCATCGAGAGAGAACGCCAGAGAGAAAAGGACCAAGAGGCTTGGAGACGCGCAAGTCTGGTTGGTGGTCCGGCTGCCACTGGCGAGCAAAGGAGCCCAACTGGACCTCCACAGCAAAAGGCTCAGTTCCAGTTTACTAACTTGGATGATTTGGATGACGATGATGACGACGATTGAGTAAGAGGAGATAAGCCAACGAATTTTTGATATCTATAATAAGCTTAAAAACAATGCAGAACAATACCCCCTCGTCAATAGCCAACACGGCCCAGCTCTGTTGGCACTGGCCTGATTTTGATATCCGTCTAAATGAAAATGAATCTACTCCGTACTCGTAGCGTACTGACGCAACACCACGGATCCTTATCACCATAGTCTTGCCGATCTGCCCTTGTTTGCAGCTTAAACCACGGCTCATGGTAAACGCGAATTCCAGATGCTGGTCGTACATGTATTTTACAAACACCGAAATTCCGTCTCTTGTTCATTAGTCCCTTGTCGTTGATGATCCATTCGTCATAATTGGTGCAAGGTCGTCTCTTAGTCAATCTTGATGGACGAGTAGATCTTGCGAACGAACCACCAACTGGCGAAGTAGCCGATGGAGCCTGAAATAGTTAGAATGGCAAACAAGAAGAGGACCAGAAAGAACTTACCAGTAAGAATGAAGAAGAGGAATGAAATGATGGCACTGTAGCCCATGTAGAGCACAATACCAGCCAACCCACTAGCTCTGACCTTTGTAACAAGGTACAAAAGACAATTCAAGAAGATATAGCCACCACTCATGCCAGCAGCAAGGAAAGACCTCCACTGCCAGTTGTAGTTCTCCGCACATAGCAGGAAGTACACCATAAGGATAGTGACAGCAGCGCAGACAACGATCATAAGACCATAGCAGAGGAACAAGAAGCCGAACATGTAGTAGATCCTGCTGAACCAGATCGAGTTCATGATGAAGAAGAGCTCGACAAAGATAGCACCGAATGGAAGAAGACCGACAATGAGCACACTAGGGACAGGCTTAAGGTAAGTGCTCACAGGAGGAATCTGTCGTGGAATCTGGTTGGTACGGACAGGGGGCTGAAACTGAGGAGAGCGGAATCCGACCCAAGAACCACCGAACGAGAGAGGAATCGAGATAATGAACCAGATAGCAACAATCACAAGCATGGTGGTGAAAGGAACCGCTCCTGATGACTGCTTGGCCCAGAGGAAAAGGTTCAGGAGGAAGAAGCTAGAGAAGACAATGCCGGGAACCAGGGTAGGGGTCAAGGCAATGTTCAACTTCCAGCTCTCACCCTGCCAGGCCTTGTAAGTTCGAGCAGAGACATAACCACCAACAAAGCCGAGGACAGTGTACATGAGGATCATGATCGTTCCAAGGGATCCACGGTTTGAGGGAGACAAGAATCCAAGGAGAGCAAAGAGAATGGTGCATCCTGTCATGCAGAACAGCTGAACACCATTGCCGGCCAGGACTGAGAGCAGAAGAGGACGCGAAGGGGTTCGGAAGACATCGCCATGAACCAGCTTCCAGCCAGAGTCTTCCTGAACACCATCCTCAACAACCGAGGTACCGCCAAAGTCGTCGAGGTCGATCTGGTCGAGTCTGTTATAACGAGCGATATCCTTCTTGAGAGCGCGGACCAGGATGGACATGACGGTGAGAACAAGAATAACGACTATAATAGCAGTATCGATAAGCCAGAACCAGTGAATTTTAGGATCAAAAACGTGCAAGTACTTGTCCCATCGAGTGGCCCAGGCAGTGTCGGACTTGCGCCAGATGACGCTATAGCTGAAGGCAACATGCTGCTCCTTTCCAGACAAAACGATGGGTGGGTGGTTGGCGCAATCAGCCTTGCCGCCGTACTCCTTTGAACTTGGCTGCACAACCACACCCACGACACGGCGCTGGTTGGGGTCCTTGTTCACCTCGTGGTACTCGACGGCAATTTCGTAGTGGTTATTGAACAGAATGTTGTCGTCCTTATCATCCTGGCCAAGCAAGAATCGGGGATTATAAAAGGTAGTGCCAGTCAATTGATCGAGAACTTCCTGTCCAGCTGGCAATCCATCTACAAGCCATTCCAGACTGTATCCTTGTTCAATGCGGCTTTTGACAAATTGAACCGATTTCTCAGTATATTTGACTTCGCAAAGGGGCTTGCAGGTCTCGTTCTTGCCCATGATAAGCTCAAAGGGAGAAGTCATGATACGGTCTCCGAAGAGAATACTACCCAGACTTTCCGAAACATATTGAGGGCCGCCTTCAGGTTGGCAGAATTGGAACGCAGGATGGTAGTAGTCGTACGAGACAACGGCATGTAGTCGCGGGTCTTGGGAGCGGTCGACAGGCTTGATGCTATTCACGTAAAGCGGAACCTTATCTCCCTCTTTGTAGGTAGTTGGAGCGACACCGGGGAGGTAGAAGGCAGAGGCTAGCTGTGGTATAGCTAACAGCGAGCTGACAAGCGCCGTACGAGGCGCAAAGTCTCGGAAATGCATATTGGAAAGTTAGGTCATGCGCAGACCGATAGAGGTTAACAAAGGAGGGTTGCGAAAGCCGAGATGTGAAGCTGTCGATCAAAGCTCCAGCTGACGACGACTTGCGCGACCCGCAATTTCGAGTCGATGAGGAAGGAAAATAAAAAATCAAGTAATCACTGAGAATTTAACTCAGTTTCTGCCTTTTATTTAGGCTGATCAATGATATGAAGGATCGTGTGGTGAATCAGGCCAGCGAAATAGCTGCGAGAGTAATTCGTCAAACAGGGAGCTTCAAAGCACTTGCTGTAATCTGTCATGGAGATATTAGCTGAGTCAGGAGAATGAGCCACTCATTGAAACAGGGGATTCGTGGCGTTTGTGGCTCTCGGAGCAGGAAGGTGGAGCAGCAAAACCAAGAAAGCCCCGCTAAAAAGTTGAAGTACTCCAAACTTTTCGACGAGACATCAGTTTTCAATTGTCTAGACATTTCAAGTCTCAGGCAAACAGATCAACATGGCAGCCCCTACGACACTACCGGCGCTTTTGACGTCGCTTACACAGTCGCTGTCTTCAGCACTCGAGGTCACACCAAAACTCGCCGCTATCGAGCACCAGAAGGATGGCATTTCACTCCTCGATGTTAAGAATGAGCTTCTACTCTCATATCTACAAAACCTCGTCTTCTTGATCCTGCTCAAGTTGCGCAACTCAAAAACGAACTCGGACAAAGCCGAAGACGACTCCGAACTCGACGAATCTGTTAGGGTAAAGCTGGTTGAACTGCGACTTTACTTAGAAAGGGGAGCCCGACCGTTGGAAGAGAAGTTGCGCTTCTCCATTGATCGATTCCTCCGAACAGCAGACGATGCGGAGCGCGAGAGACAGGCAAATGAAGCCAAGGCCGCGGCTGGATCAGATTCTGAGGAAGAAGAGGAAGACTCGGAGGAGGAGGCAGACGCCGAAGCTCTGTCCCACAAGCCTGGTAACTTTGGTGCCATGGCTGATGATGTTACCGCTCGTCGTGCGGAGCGTGATGGAGGAGCTCCGGGTGTCTACCGCCCACCCAAGAGAGACCGCGCCACAATGGATGCGCCTCAACGGCCCCAGAAGTACGATCGTCGCGCCGGCAAGTCCCACACCATGGAGGAATTCGTTGCTTCAGAGCTATCCAGTGCACCTTTGGCGGAGCCCAGTATTGGTACCACAATTGTCCAGGGCGGTCGCAAGATGAAGACCGACGCTGAACGAAAGGAGGAGGCAGAGCGCCGGGATTATGAGGAAATGAACTTCACACGTCTTCCCAAGGAGAGCAAGAAGGATCGAGCTCAGAAGGCGAAGCAGGCTGGTCGCAGTAACCGCATGCAGTTTGGTGGCGAGGATTGGCACAATCTGGGAGAGGGTGTCGACCGTATTGACCGCCTTACCAAGCGCAAGCAATCGGGTGGAAATGTCCGTGCTCTTCTGGACAAGAGCCGAAAGCGTGGAATCGATACAACGGATGGACCCCGTGGAAGTGGTATGGGAGGTGGTATTGGAGACAGATTCAACAAGAGAGTCAAGGTATTGGAAGGTGGACGCCGCGACCGTGGAAAGGGTCGATAGACGGTTTGATGTTAATAGATATGTTTTCTGGCTTCTGGGATGGCCAGAAACGAAACGATTTGCGAATATCGTGTAATGGATATGCCTGCTGGATTCCACTGGAGTTTAAAATTTGGAAGGCCTGTAGAGAAACCGCCAATACGAATAGGCTGCTTTACTGAAAAATCATTATAATTGCTGCAGAATACTTCTTTCATCCAAGATTATGTCTCTATTGAAATAAGTCAGTTACCTATAGGAAACGGGGCACAACTAAATGACTCTCATCTTCTGTTTGGGGACTCTCGAATTGCTGATAAGATAACGGTCCAAACTTTGGCGGGGGACGAACATGGAAATTTCTCTACAGTCGCGCCCCTCCCAGCGTTGACGTCTCTCTAAACTTGCAACCTTCAAGCTGACTTACTTCACGTTTAAACCCTGTCGCAAAAACGGCGAAGCTTGAGGTACTGGTACAAAACCCGTACACATACTCAAAATCGAGATTTGAGCCAAAGGTCTTCTAGAAACAGCTGCGCATAGTGGTTGTCGCAAAGCGAACTTCGAGAGCGACGTAGAGTCATCGAAACCGAAAGCGAATAACAAGGCCTTGTCAGGTTCTTGGCTGGCAATTTTTGCGGAAAAGCTCTCCTCACTTTCAAATAATCTTATAAAATGTCTACGACATCGAATACACCGGCTCCCGTGGCCTCAATGGACGTCGATGATATGGACATTGACTCCAGCGTCAAGCCCTCCACAACCAACAATCCCACCACGATAAACGACGATGACGATGACGATCCAGTCACCGCAACATATAACGTCTTTATCAATCCATCTCTACCGTTAGGCCGCCGTCTTCTCGTTCTCCAACATCCCAATCGCACCGATGACTCTCCACGACCTCCCCCAACCGAATTGCGCGTGAAGGCTCAAGCTGGTATGGTTGAAGTCGATGTACCCCTCGACAACACAGTCGCCTATGATCGGGAGAAGGGTCTTAGGTGGGGAAAGACATTACATGCTTCTATGGCGACCAAGAATGGTGGCAGTCATGGTTTGGCTGGTGGTTTTGGCTTCGGTACGGTTCAGGCTCGAGGTGGCAGGAAAAAGGCCGAGGACGAAGGAGAGAACGTGGATTGGGCAGAGGCCGTCAGGCAGGATAAAGTACTTCGGACACAGACCCTTGGTGGGCAGTATCCTGAGTATAAGGAGGTCCAGCATATGGTTGGTGTCTTTCAAGGCAGTAAGTCACATAGGCTCTTGAATCCATATATCTTCTAACACATCGCCAGAGGACTTACATCTTACGCCTGTATCATCACTTGTCCATCTACGCCCACAACTTCACCACATTGACGCAGCCGTTCAACAAGAACGCCAAGCCGCAGCTACCAAGGAGTCGGCTCCAAGCACAGCAGGCGGCACCGCTCGCGCAATTCATATGACTGTTAAGGCTACTGGCGATGGTGATACAGTTACCACCGAAACCATGGCTGATCGTCTAAGAGCTGTGCAGACAGAGCACTGGCGAACTATGCACTACACAGATGAGAATGAGGAGGCTGCATGGGAGGTTTATAACGAAAGCCTCTTCCTGCGCCCTACTCAAGAAGGGGCCGCGGAAGAAGCAGAGAAAGCCGATGATGCTGAGGAAAATGAACCACCACTTGAAGAGTCCGTGCCAAAGTTCGCTCGTCGATGGGATGATGATGAGCTACTTGAGGCTGTTAGTGGTATCAAGAAGCCACAGCCGGCGCCAGAGCCAGTTAAAGAGAATCCCAAGCCAATTGCTCCCACCAAGCAGCCAGAGCAACCTGCGCCAGCGTCGGAAGAGGCACGAAAGCCCAAGCTTCGCCCACGAGGCGGAGCGGCTGGAAGCGTTCCTCGACGGGGAGGTAGACCTCGAGCTACGGCTTCAAAGACGGCCAACGTTGATGGATGAAAAGTGAAAGTTTGAGGCTAGAAGTAAATTCGGGAGACAGAATAGGTTGCATGGGACGGCGCAAAGGATCTATCAAACTTACACAAGGAATACAAAAAGTCACAGCATGGAAAAGCTTTGCCAAAAACGCGTAAAATTTGCAAATACGATATAACCTATTTCCTCAATGGACAAGAGTCCTCCCAAACTCTCTCCATGAGTTAGTAATGATCATCCGACTGTAATGCCGGTATACATGAAAGCGCTAAGCACTCGCCATATCACGGGTTAGGAATTTTGTACACCCAGTATGCCTATACGCTGAACCGCTCCCAATAATTCTTTCGCCGGCATGTAAACCCTGTTTGTTGTGTTGTGTTGCATCCTACATATCCCGGTCGTCTTGAGCGCTCTTAAATGCCAGCCCAAGAAAAAGCCCAAGAATCACCGCAATAGCTTGTATGCATGCTTATGAAACATATGTTTACTGGAGAAGCTCGACATCCAAACCAATGGATCGCATGAACAAGTTGACGCTGTTCAGTCGCTCTGCTCCCATAGCAGGAGGGAGAGTCTTCGAAACAGTGACAGTGTCGAGCACACGGTCCTTGACAGCAAGGACCAGGCGAGTTTGTTGATCGTGAGTGGCGCTGACGCCCATAGCTGCAAGAAGCTGCCATACATAGACGTCCTCTCCAGTGTTGACGCTGCCAGGGAAGATGTAAGGCAGCGAAGGTTCGAGTCTACTGAACAAGATCTCAAATGTTCGATCCCTGATACGTGTTAGCCAAAGTTATGAAATACGATTAAATGTTTACATACCAGTTATCCCACTGCTCAGGAGTGCCGGCGCCTGTCTGTTTGAGGAGCACGGCACGACTGAGAATGAGTGTCAACATTGACACACCAATTCTCGATCTAGCAATGAGGTCGACGTTGAGCTTTGTGGCAATCAAGTTCAAAACTCCATCAACGATATCCAGACCAGTGTCGTTGAAATATTGCATCAGTGATGGCATGACAGTAGAGATAAAAAGTTCAATCTTCTCTCGCATTCGTGCGTTGATGGTTGTCACCTCGCCCGGTGTAATAGCAGCACCCTGCACAACATCCAATTGGTCGAGATGATAGATAATCATGGTCAAGATAGTGGTTCGTTGTTCAAAAGAGAGATGAGGGAAAAGACGAGGGATGGCCTTCTCACCCTTGGCACAAGACAAGAAAGCGATGAATGGGTGAGGAACAACAACTCCAATTTGCTCGTGGACCTTGAGCTCTTGCCAGAGCTTGGCGTTGTAGGTCTCTAGAATGGTGGCCCACTCCTTGTGCTTGTTCTCAAGCTCCTCATCGGGGCCGGTCATAGGAGGTGGGATAAGCCGAACATGATCCTCGATTTGCATAAGTGTCTGATAAACCTTCTCAACATTTCGCAAGATGGTCTTTCGATCAAGGCTAGATCCCTTCTTGCCATTGTTGGGGCGCTGATGCTCACTCTCGGTGCGCTTGATGCTGAGCAGAGGCTTGGGGGTCTTAGCGTTGCTGAAGGAGATCTTTCCTAGACTACCTGCAATGACCAGCTGAGGATTCTTGGGCTTGTTCTTGGCGGCTTCAACAGCACGCTGTACCTGCTGCTCCATTCGTTGGAAGTGGTTCTCAGCGGGTCGTCCATGACGGCGCATGCCACCCTGGCGGCTACCAGTCTGGTAGAGATATGTCTGGGCAAAGTTGCTCAGAGGCTGGCTGGGGTTTTGGCGCTGACCGGCTCGAATATGGCTGTAAACCTGGTAGTAAAAGTCCTCAGCAATTGAGGCATCAGATCCTTCAACAGGGTTGCCGGTAGCGGAAACAAGCTGCTGGAGCTGGATACGGGTGATGAAGTTCTTGTCCTGAGGAGTCATCAAACCGTTGTCCTTCGACAGAAGCCAGATCTTGTGGTTTCGCTTGGCCCTCTTGGTCTCTTGATCCAAATACGCAGCCTTCTCTTCCTCGGACATCTGCTGCATATGGGGATGAGCTTGCAACTGCGCGGCGTTGGGAATAGCACCGTGAGATTGTTTGGACTGGTGTCCATGCTGAGGTGGCATATGCGCATCTGGGCCGCCGCGGTTGGGATTCTGCAGAATCTGGGTCGGGTTGGCATGGAGCTGCTGCTGCTGCTGCTGGACAGGAGTCGCTTGAAGACCCGGGGCTGGCGGCGTTGGCTTCGACTGAGTGCTTTGGGGCCTCTGCAGAATGGTCACGGGATGGCCATGACCATGGGCCTGAGGTGGCTGTTGCTGATGAGCAGTAAATCCGGGAGGTGGCTGCTGATAGGAAAGATCTGCGGCATGTGGTTGAGGTGTCTGCTGTTTGGGCTGAGATCGCATGGCGGCCTCGACCTCTTCCAAGCTCATGACTTTGCGGCTGGACGCATGCTGGGCAGGCTGAGCTGCAGGAACGGGAGCTGGGGATGCTTGCTGGGCTGGCTTAGACGGCCCAATGCCCCAGATACTTCGGTCAACATGGAGATCAGGAAGCGCTTCGGGCTCGCGATACTTCTCGTAACCGGATCGCACAGGCTGTTGATAAGACTGTTGTTGGTAAGGCTGGTTAGAGTAGTAGGACTGGTAGTCGGCCGAGGCATATTGGTTAACGGAAGAATGGGCCTGAGCAGAAGCAGCGGGTTTGGCCGCAGGTCCCTGGCGATTGTAGCGAAGATGTTCCTCCTCAATGGCATCCGCAACCTTGGCAGTCTGGCCAAAGAAATCGAAATCCTTGCCAGCGCTGCGAGTGACTGCCGGGCCACTGTCGCCGAAAGTATCATCGTTGAATGCGTCACCAGTCTCTTCGAGCTGGTCTCCAAGACCGTCATACGTCTCCTCGAAGTCTAGAGCATCATCATCGCCATCCCTGCCTGACAAACCAGCGAATGGATCGTGAGATTGGGAGAAGCCAGGTGCAGCCGTGTTATGGCGCGTAGTATCGAAACCGAAAAACGACATTTTGAAAGAATTTGGGTAAGTGGACGTCGATTGTACTATGAAAGAAATTAGTACAAACGCCAGTCAACTGTAGTCGCTATGAGCTCCGTGCCCCGCTCGAGGTCTCCTCAGCAAACGCCCCATAACCTCCCTAGACCAGATATCAGGCTTCTTATCCCAATTGCTCGGGTCGCTATAATGGAGTGTTCGAAATCGCTGCGATGGCGGATTTTTCTATTGTTTATCATGCTCTGCATCCTGAGTCGTATTCTTACATGGTACCGTCCTGGTCAAAGCTGCTTGATTCTGTTTCGCTGTCCATCATGTGGCGCATATCACTTCCAACATGGAAAAGAAGATACTTTCCCGATGCCTGAGCCACCTGTAAAGGTTTCGCGTTGAAGGAAGCTTGTGCAACCCAGAATTCGTCCTTAGATCCAAGGGCGTCGAGGGGTTTCCCGGACATACATATCCAACAATGACCAAGCCGGGGGAAGCGAGCAGGGTAGGAAAGCGACAACTGAGGTAAATCCACTCACCACTAAGAGAATGAGATATGTTCAGGATCCTTCAGCACGCACAAATCTATCATGATGTCTTCCAGTAAATTGGGTTCAAGATGTTTGTATCGTAGCCAAGCATGCGAATAGAGCGCTATGCTGGCTGTAGAAAGGTTGTTGGAAGTGTTCGGAAACTCTATCAATGAGCTTTGCAAGCTTCAAGGGTGGACAGCCGTTTGGGAGAGAGCGAACTGCGATGTTGATGCGCGGCGAAGCTCTGAAGCCGACGATGATGCGACGAAGTGCCAACGTTGTTCTCCAAGCCCGCTTCCCCCACATGCGGCTGGAGGAAAGGGTAAATGCATTCACGTGCTGGGTCACGTGTGTGTTATTGTTCATTCGAGTTTATACGATCCGAACCAAAAGTCGTAACAGAATTGCCTATTATTTATAAATTTAGATTAGAATATAAAGGATTATGACAATGGAAAAGAAATAGTATAAAAGCATAAACATATTATCTGGATATTGCAAGAACAAGGCACTGCACTGCGTCATGTTGTAGTTACAGTAACAAATGATGTACATGTGAACGGCTTCATCAATGACGTTTTCGGTTGGCATTGAATTGGATTGTTTATCAAATTCAACTCCAGATATGCATTCTACTCTGTTGACATCGTAGGTTGCGAGTATTACAGGAGTCGACTTCAAGAGGGCTCTTGATGGCGAAGTCACAGATCTTAGGTGAAACATTGATAAGAATAAACAATTAGACATACGGAACGGATCATGAATTTGAGCTTGAATAAGGTTATCGATCAAAGATCGAGGTAATCAGCCCAGAGACTCAATTCAAGGTTGAAGAGGCCAACCAACTGGTAGCAAAAACGGAACGAACGGCTTCGGAGATCAACAAAGAGCAATTGGCTACCTCGTACAGTGGAGAGAAGATGAGAAAATCTGGAACTGCTACAGGCTGGTTGCAGTGTTCCTTTGACGCAAGGTTCCTGTAAGCTGCCAACCTAAAACAAGCCCAGGAAACAAAAAGGGGCACATCCATCTCATTCAACGATACGAGAAAAACTGGTGATGCATTCGACACGCAACACTTTCCTAATTCAGGCCACGATTTGCTGTAGAGAAACTCTCTCGATTTGAGGCTTGAACTACTGTAGATCCCCCATTCCTAAACATTCTGTAAGAGGCGCATGGCGCAACTTAAAAGGGCTATTATATCTGAATCAAGGCGATGACAATGAAGATTTCCAAGGTTGGGGCATCCCTGTAAACAGATCAGCCTCCTGTTGCATGTCGTCGTAATCTTGACAACAATCGAAATCCACCTTTCTTTGCACGGACTTGTGAGAGAATAAGCTGGAAAAAAAAAGATTGCTATTGTATTGGATGTCATTAGACTCACTCCAAAAGCGTCTGGACTCGGCAATAGTTTGACACAGAAGCCATTAATCGCAGCTGAGATGCGCTAACAGGCGGGATACACCCCCTGGACGTCAGGGGATATCAAGTACATATCATTTCATGAATACTTCGTTCTAGTACTGCCAAGCGCTGGAAATCAGGTATTTTACCCCCAAACCCCTGCCGAAGATACCTCGAGTCACCCTCTTCTTATCAGAACAAGTTGTGTCTCTCTCGTCTCTGTGTGTACCTGACTTTGCCTAGAATTGACGATCAAGGGCTGGGCTCGTTCCCCCAGAACACGTTGTTCATCTCATTCCAATGCTCTCCAGCAACTTGTTGCGTGCCATTGATTCCAATTGTATTTTTCTCTTACAATAAGTAGATACTTTCCTGCACATGCTCAATTCATGAATATTCATCCTTCATCGTAAACCATCTCATTTTCTCTCCTTAATTACTTGTTCTGGTTCACGATATTGACGTTGTTCTTCTCGTCGTGAAGGACTAGACCATCTTTTTTTAGTTCAGAAAGATCACCGACCGTTCCTTTTACTGGAGCCCTCAGTCCCTGGCTCCCTACCAACGTAACTGCCTAGGCGGGCTGCTAGGTGCTCTAGGTGTCTTTTTGCCCCGTGCGCGCTGCGACCGAAACATCGACTTTCGATCATCCATCTTTCTTCTTTGTTTTCTGTTCAAACCTCCCGCTTCTTGAACGCTTCTTTTATTGACGATTTTGTATCGTCAATTCTTCTTTCGCCATGGCTGCAGGTCATACGCGCTACGTGCGCTATATTGCGCTCGCGCTTTTCGTACGTCACCTCATTCGTTTCCCATGGGCTTTGATGCTCATGATGGCTTACGTTGCCACCTGCTAACCCGACTCCTTTAGACGCTCACTATGTTCTACTTCTTCTCCAATTCCAAGATCGATACCATCCCCGTTCCTGGCAGTGTCGGTAACTTCCCAGGCGGCCCTGGAAGCCCCAGCAACCAGCAGCAAGCTCCTGGCACCATCCCCAAATCCCCTGATGCCGGTAACAACGTCAACTTCCCCGGCCAACAAGCACCTGCTGCCGAGGAGGGAGACACTGCTCTCACCAAGGACGATGCTCCCGCTCAGAAGCCCGCCGGCGAGGGTGCCGGTACTGCTGGCGATGCCCCCGCTGTTCCTGCTCCTCAGACTCCCAAGGAGGGTCCTGCTTCAGGCGAGCTTGCTGAGGCTCCTCTGGCTATGTCCCCCAACGACCCTGGCTGGAACAACCTCCAGGGCACTGCCCCCGGTCCCCGTATGAACGCTACATTTGTCACTCTTGCTCGAAACCAGGACGTCTGGGAGATTGCCGAGTCCATTCGACAGGTCGAGGATCGTTTCAACCGCCGATACAACTACGACTGGGTCTTCCTCAACGATAAGCCTTTCGATGAGCAGTTCAAGAAGGTCACCACCTCTCTCTGCTCTGGTAAGACTCACTATGGTCTGATTCCCGAGGAGCATTGGTCTTTCCCTGAGTGGATTGACCAGGAGAAGGCCCGCAAGGTCCGTGAGGATATGCACGAGCGAAAGATTATCTACGGTGACTCCATCAGCTACCGTCACATGTGCCGATTCGAGTCTGGTTTCTTCTTCCGACAGGAACTCATGATGAACTACGAGTACTACTGGCGTGTTGAGCCCTCTGTCAAGCTCTTCTGCGATATCCACTACGATCCTTTCCGTGTCATGCACGAGAACAACAAGAAGTACAGTTTTGTTCTCTCTCTTTACGAGTACATCGACACCATTCCTACCCTCTGGGCTAGCACCAAGAAGTTCATGCAGAACCACCCCGAGCATATCTCTTCCGATAACTCCATGCGTTTCCTCAGTGATGACGGTGGTGAGAACTACAACAAGTGCCATTTCGTAAGTTAAACTCTGGTTACCAGCCGTTTCACAACTAATTGAGTTTAGTGGTCCAACTTTGAAGTTGGTAGCTTGTCCTGGCTCCGAAGCAAGCCTTACCTCGATTTCTTCGAGTCTCTTGACAAGGACGGCGGTTTCTTCTACGAGCGATGGGGTGATGCTCCTGTCCACTCTATTGCTGCTGGTCTTCTCCTTAAGAAGGAGCAGATTCACTTCTTTGAGGATATCGCCTACTACCACGTTCCTTTCACTCACTGCCCCACCGACGAGCAGCGACGTCTGGATCTCCGTTGCCACTGCAACCCTGATAACAATTTTGACTGGAAGGGTTACTCTTGTGAGCATTTTTGAAGACTGTTTCAGAATCATACGCTAACCAAGCAACAGGCACTTCCCGATTCTTCGAGCTCAACGGCATGGAGAAGCCCAAGGGCTACGAGAAGCAGCAGTAGACAAAACATTATTAACGCGGGGTTGTATAGGGTTATATTGTACAGGTCGTAATGCTCGGTAGATTGTCTGCATGATTTCTGGGCTGCACACAATGGGTCGGCATTGGGTGATGTTCTTACGGGAACCAACAACAGGCGTCTGGGTTTGAAGTACTTTGGACAGCTTTTGATCATGTAGAGTGTATGAATCAAGAATGTTCTGGGATCATTTGAATGCTTTCTTAAATGCTTGAAATAGTGTACAATATCATTACATGGCCGCAGCCAGGTCTATTGGTTTTGACACATGTCTTGTATCATCGCTTTGCCATCTTTTAACCTAATTCGTCCATTTGATTCCGTATGTAAAATTGTTTAACCAACTGTGGCCTTCTTTGGCTTCTTGGTGCCGTACTTGCTTCGACTTGTTGTTCGGCTCGCAACACCACCCTGGAGCAGTTAGTATATAAACAAGTACAAACGTGGCCAGAACTCCGTTTTAAATCCAACAGAGAATAAAAAACATACCAGATCCAGAGCTCCTCGAACAAGATGGTATCTCACACCAGGACAATCCTGTGCACGTCCTCCTCGTACCAATACAACACTATGCTGCTGAATATTGTGTCCCTCACCAGGAATATACGCCGTAACAACAGCTCCAGTAGAAAGCTTCACACGAGCAGTCTTTCGCTCACCGGAGTTGGGCTTCTTGGGTCGAACAACACCAACACGCAGACAGACGCCTTTCAGAGCGGGACAGTTTGTGTTGGACAGAGCAGGAGAGACAGCGTGGCGTGCGCGCTTTCCCTTTCGGATACCGCGGAGGACTTGGTTCAATGTAGCTGGGCGAGCTGTTGTGGGAGCGAATGCGCGGGGTGCGGAGGTTGTGAATGTTCGGAGGGTTGGTTGGATGACTCGGCTTGGTGGTGTTGAGAGGGCTGTGGTGAGGGGACGGCGTGTCGCCGGGGAAAAGAATTGGCGGAGGATGGAGCCGACCATGTTGGGCGAGTCGTGGAAGGTCAGATTGAGGTGGTTTGTCGTGGGAATTGGTCGAATTGATCCCGTATTCGGCCTCTCGCTATCCTAACCTCGAGCTCATCCAATGCCGATATCAAAATCTCAGCCTCTCCAAACTGTGTCACGTGCCGACATGAAGCTTCCCGGATGTCATGTTTCTCCGGCCGCATATCAGATCACATGCCACAATCTATCGATGCCCCACCTCCATCTTTGACGTCAGCGGTTAATTGCCGGTGCATCTTTTTCCACCCCGCAATCCTCCCCATCTCCCATTCCGCATTGGCTAACAGATTTCCCCAAATCGATCCAAGTCAAACAAAGTCAAGTTCCATTACCGCTGTACAACCGAAGACATCCTCGACCTCGGTGGTTATCCTCGGCTGGTCTAGGCCGAGCAGCGAGATTCTTCAACCGCTTCAGCCGTATAAAGGGAAGGGCGTGTAACAACGGGGGGCAATGGATGATTTGTATATACCGAGGCTCTTATAATTGACATCTTGACCTTGTTGTTCTCTTGCCGCCTTCATCTTCTTTTCTCAGACCATACAAAGAGCTTGTCTTGTTGGTTGTCACTTTTGGCTTGTGATCGTCAGACATCTAACATACCCGCCTCACGCCTCGATCTAACCTAGCCACTTCAGCTCCCCTACATCTCTTCTCTTTCTTCTTTCTGACATAGTCACCGCTCTTCCTCACTCCTCCCTTCAATACCGCGAATCTCACCATGTCCTCGTCGTTTACTCGAGTCGTGCGCCCTGCGCTACAGGGCGGTCGAGGTCTTACACAGCGCATTGCCACACGAGCCACCGCTCCCCGAACCTTGACGAGAATAAACCTGTGAGTGCAATTTTTGAGAATGATCAGAGACGATCGCTAACTTTGCGCTTAAGCAACGCTGCTCGCCCTCTATCTACAACATCCACCCGCCGCAATGAGCACATCGACATCTCCGAGATTCCTCCTACACCCATCACCCACCTCTCTGAGATCGAGGCCGCCATGGCCGACACCGTCTCCAAATTCTCTACGGATGTGATTCTTCCTCGCGCGCGTGACATGGACGAGGCTGAGGAGATGGACCCCGCTGTTGTTGAGCAGCTGTTCGAGCAGGGTCTCATGGGTATTGAGATTCCCGAGGAGTACGGCGGTGCTGGCATGAACTTCACTTCTGCCATTATCGCCATTGAGGAGCTTGCCCGTGCAGACCCCTCTGTTTCTGTCCTGGTTGACGTGCACAATACCCTCTGCAACACAGCTATTATCAAGTATGCTTCCACTGCCATTAAGAAGAAGTGGCTTCCTCGCCTTGCTACAAACACCGTCGCCTCTTTCTGTCTCTCCGAGCCTGTCTCGGGTTCGGATGCTTTCGCCATGGCCACAAGGGCCACTGAGACCGCTGACGGTTTCAAGATCTCTGGCAGCAAGATGTGGATCACAAACTCTAAGGAGGCCGAATTCTTCATTGTCTTCGCCAACCTCGACCCCAGCAAGGGCTACAAGGGAATTACTGCCTTCATCGTCGAGAAGGGCACCAAGGGTTTCTCTATTGCCAAAAAGGAGAAGAAGCTCGGTATTCGCGCCTCAAGCACGTGCGTCATCAACTTCGACGACGTCGAGATTCCCAAGGAGAACCTCCTCGGTGAGCGTGGGCACGGTTACAAGTACGCCATCGCCCTTTTGAATGAGGGCCGAATTGGTATTGCTGCTCAGATGACCGGTCTGGCTCTCGGTGCTTTCGAGAACGCTGCTCGCTACGTCTGGAACGACCGCAAGCAGTTTGGCTCTCTTGTCGGTGAGTTCCAGGGTATGCAGCACCAGCTTGCCCAGGCCTACACTGAGATCACTGCCGCTCGCGCTCTCGTTTACACTGCTGCTCGTAAGAAGGAGGCTGGCGAGGACTTTGTCAGGGACGCTGCCATGGCCAAGCTCTACGCTTCTCAGGTCGCTGGACGTGTCAGTGGTTCCGCCATTGAGTGGATGGGTGGCATGGGCTTTGTCCGTGAGGGCCTTGCTGAGAAGTACTTCCGTGACAGCAAGATTGGTGCCATTTATGAGGGTACCAGCAACATCCAGTAAGTTTCAGTTTGATAAGTGCATTTCGAAGCGGATACTAACATGCTATAGACTCAACACTATTGCCAAGCTCTTGCAAAAGGAGTACACATCTTAGAAGCATAGAGAAAATCTAGAAAGAGGTGGAAGTATAAGTGGAATAAACAAAATATAGGCCAAAAAAAATATCTAAAACATATCAATGCCCCTTTGCGTCTACAAACGCATCTGTGACAAAGTGAGATCGAACCATGAAGTACAGTAGATAATAGACCTTGTCAAGAACACACGATCAATCACCACTGCGTAAGGCAAAATATGACAAAAAATCATTGCCTGCGTCTCATTTTTTTGATATCTCTCGCTTCTATTAACTAACATGCATTCAAATGCTGCTGTATACGATACTCATCTACCGCTAGAGTCGCTTGCTTCGCCATCCCAATATGGCACGGTACTGATCATGCCCTCATACATTTTACTCGCCCAACCACCAATATCCTGAAAGCCAACCACTATAAGCGAACCAGCGAACGTGAAAAGGGAGCGTCTTATCCAGACGCCCGTACTGGGTTCGCTGTACCGACATCACCTGCCCGCGGTGTCCGGCCATCTATTTCACTATCGCCCCTGGGTATCCGATAGACAAGACAATAACCCCACCGCGGCTCCATCGTCTCAATAAAACATTGCAAAATCGTCAATCTTGTCAGGTCAGTCGCTTAATCAAAATCAGCCGTGTAGGAGAAACCTCGGAATTCTTCTTGCATGGCTTGTGATAAAACTTATGATTGTTAGTGAAAGATCAAGGACTTGGAAGCTGAAGGACTTACCGGACTGGACTGGGGTCAACACGGGAGTAACACTAGTGAACTCCGAGTCGAAGTTGCTGGTATCAGTTGCACTCTTAATTTGAGGCATGAAAGGAGGTTGCACTCTCTTGTGGTAGATGTCGTCCCAGTTGATGTTGCGGAAGAATGGCTGGCTCATCACCTCCTGGGCATCAGTTGGGCCGCTTCCGAGTCGCTGGTCTGGCTCACGAGTGAGCAGCTTCTGGAGAATAGAGACTGAGTCTCGGGGCATGTGAATAGGGTAAAGAGGCTCATCGGCCAAAATGGCATCATAGATTTCGTCCTCATCCTCTCCACGGAATGGAGATTGCTGGAGAAGCATCTGGTAGATCAAGACACCAAATGCCCACCAATCGACAGCACGGCCGTACTTCTTGTCGAGGAGAATCTAAGAAATGTCAGCACAAAGAACAAAAAGGAATGAGATATTACGAGCATACCTCTGGAGCCATAAACTCGGGAGTACCACAGAAGGTGCTTGTTGTTGAACCATACCACATATCCTCCTTGCACAGACCATAATCACCAATCTTGACGTGACCGTCGAGTGACAGCAGAATGTTGTCAAGCTTCAGATCACGGTAAATGACACCGTTCTCATGGAAATACTTGAGGGCCAAGCAAACCTCTGCAGCGTAGAATTGGGCACGCTTGGTACCGAATTGACCTCGCTGAATGTGCAACATCAGATCACCACCACTAACATACTCCATTACGAAGTACACACGGGTCTCGGTCTGGAAGCATGCGTGCAGGTTCGTCAAGAATGGGTGCCTACCTCGGTTGGCAACCAGGAACACACGCTTCTCGGAGCGGATGCTCTCTACTTCATCATTCTCTATAATGAACTCCTTCTTGAGCACCTTGATAGCATAGAGCTTGCGAGATCGCTTTGTTTCAGCAAGCATGACCTTACCGAAGTTACCCTTGCCCAGCACAGCAAGGAAGTTGAAATGGTCAAGTCCGATCCGCTGACCAGTTCCAGGGTCTGTAGCCAAAGGTAGCGGTGCCTTATTCCCACCAGATGCAGACTGCTGCTTAGGAGACATTGCTTCCGGCGGCTGGGGTTGGTGTGCTGGCACTGGCGGTTGCTGGTAGTCGGCCTGTTGCTGTTGAGGCTGGTGTTGTGGCACCGGAGGCAGCGGTTGCTGGGGAGGAGGCTGTTGTGCAGCTGGCTGCTGTTGCACTGGTCGCTGAGCCTGAGCTGGCGGTTGTCCTCCATAGCTAGGGTTGACGTTCGCATAGTCAGCCGGGTTGTACTTGCGTTGCTGGCCCGCACCGTATTGGCCCCCTTGAGCGTACGGATCCTCTTGTTGCTGGTCATACCCTCCACTGTAACGTCCATAATCAGACTGTTGTCTCTGGGCCCCTCCAGGTCCTCCAGACATAGCCGCAGAGGCTGCTGCTGCTGCTGTTGAGCTAGATGATGTTCGGTCGGGGTGGCCAGGTCGTGGTGTTGTCTGGTTCGAGTACATAATCTTAGCTGCCTCAGTTGCCTCAGGTGAGGCAGGTCCTGGCTGATAAGGAGGTGCGGATGAGCTGGAGTAGGATGGGGCCGGAGAATGAGTGCTGGTCGGGCTCGATTTTCCTGGTCGAAGAGTTGTCAATGAGGAGGCCTTTGCCTGCCTCTGTTTCTGAGACCTTATTCCGTCCAATATCTGATTGGCCACAGCCATGGACATGCCACAGAAGTCGGGAACAAGATGCACACACTGGGCGTGGGCAGTAAGACTGCATTCTACAAATGAAGGATTAGTTTCACAATGCAGCAAACAGAATCAAACAAAACATACCTGAGCACCTTCTGCAGTTCTTCTTGCCAAAAGGCAGAATGTAACCACAGTGGCAGCACCAGTTTGCTGTCATGTTGGAATAAGGGTTGAATCTGTGCGGAATACGATGGTTGATCTTCTCCTCGTCGGGATCGGTCTCAGCGTTACTCTTGCTGATACACTTCGTAACCACACTGGAATAACACTTCGTATGACAGGTGTACTTGCAATCCTCACACTGCATGCCTGCAGAGTATTTGAGGAAATCTCCGCAAAGCGCACAACGCATAATGTTGTAGAACTGGTGCTGTACGAACTTGTGTCCGTACATCTCGTGGACCTCTTCCTTGCGTTGACGAACAGCACCCTTTCGGCCAAGACCGAGGTCAACGGGGCGGCTGTTCGCGTTAGTCTTGTTGAATGCCAACTGGAGTTGAATCTGCCCAGTAGGCTCGAGGTTAAACCATTCTTCAATTGGTCCAGTTTGCACCTGAGGCTGCGGACCAGCAGTCCCGAATGGACCAGTCTCTGTTCCTTGCGCACCACCACCTGCCGGAGAGCCTGGCCCAAAAGAGCCTGAAGATGGGCTCATAGGGAACTGTGAAGGGGCCGCGCCGGTGCTGCCCATTCTGTCGGCCGAAACCCATCCAGAACTGTTCATCTCAGCCTCGATCCTCTTGCGACGCATTTCCTCGACAATATCAGAGATTCGAACCCAGAGCATAGCAATGGGCATGGCGTGTTCAGCGGGTTTGTCGTAAACGGTCAGCTCGATTTCGTTGGCCTTGTCAACTTCGATGGTATGGTATTCGGCCTCCCAGCGATCGTTCCTGGACGCCTTTGTGCGAGCCATCACGGTATCCTCAACCTTGACGGCAATGAAGGTCTCAGGCCCTCGCGTAAACCTACCGGTTGCCAGGTGGTCCACATCCTTTATAGCCAGCATACGGATCGACAGCTGTCCGCTTAGGGGCTTCCTCAGGTTAGGGGCGTTGATGGAATCGTCTGCTCCTTTGTCAATATGTCGTAGTAGGAGATGCTGCAGTGTTAACTCACCATCTTGAGCATCGGCAACGTCCGCATCGATGTGCAGCTCTTCATATCTCTTGAGTGCCTGTTTCAACAGTATAATCTTCTGCTTGCTTTCGACTTTTCGGGCAGCCGCATCAGCCTTACTTTTGCGGTCTCCCTCCATACCGTAAAGCTGAACCATCTTCTCGATACCCTTCAGATATTGCTCTTCGACGTTTAGCTTGAATTGAATTTGCGACAACATGAGCTGGATGCGGGGTCCCAGATGCGGCGTATCATATTTGATCAAATCTGTTTGCGTTCACGTTAGCACGGTATAGAAAAGACGGAAAGTTTCTAGGAAGTTTCTATGGAGATGGCATAGCAACGACGCACCTAACTTGGTGAAATTAGGACGTGGCTTCGGAATACCCGAGCCACCAGGACCTGGAGCATAAGGGTGGCGGGGAGGCATGAGGTCAGAACCAGCGGCAGACTGGCCATATTGTCCTGAGCCTGAACCATAAGATCCTCTATCTTCTCGGGAGTCCTTGGGAGGTGGTGCAGGAGGACCACCAGCATCGTCAGAAGATCCTCCGAGGGACATGTCTCCAACACCTTGGTTCACACGTCGCATCTGGATGTCGCGCAGCTTCTCCTCGAAGAACTGAAGATTGCGACGACCATCTCGCATTTGTGAGTCCAGACGAGATCTAACGGCTTCATTATTAGTCTGTGCTCTCATGGAATTGGCAGCGTTGATGAGAGCCTTCTCGCGCTCGATCTTCTTGTGGATGCTATGGATCGCATCATCGTCATTCATGGTGAAAGTGGCTGCGCGATACGTTCGCGCTGAACGACAAGAGGTTGGAGGAGGAGGAGATGGCTGAGAATACAGCCGATATCTGGTGGTGAGGACGACGCCTCAATAGTGAGTGGGCGAGCGTGGGCGAGCGGGTGGTAAAATAGACGACGAGACAGGTGACGTCGTGTGTCGTTATCGTTAATGAATGTCTTTATACTATGAGAACCGAACCAAGTGCAGGCGGACAGAAGCACACGGAACAAGGAAGCCAGAAGGTCCCAGTTACGTATGCGTAATTATGCGTGCGTCTGCGGTGATGGTTTATGGCTGGCGGAGGTTTTCGCCGTCAAGCTTCGCTTCAGGTGGATGAGGCCGAAGCTGGTGAGTGGGGGAGAGCCTAAGAGGGGGAGGTTGAGGGAAAGAGGGTTTGGGTTATTAAGCCCAGCCGTTGCCAAATGCAGATAGTGGTGGTAGGTACCTTGGGCAGGTAGGTGTAAGGTGGCAGGTGGCAGGGCATTCAGAGGTGGTGAAAGTGCAGGTAGGTTGGAAGGTCAAAGGTGAGAAATGTCGTCAGTGATCCAATAAGTTCCTAGAGTTGGTTGGTACCTTAGGGAATCGAATCGACTCGGGGGGAGGAGGGGGTAAAATTGGCGGGGTTTTTATCGGGCGTTTTCCATGGATTCAATGCGCGACCACAGCAGAGCACAGCGCAGTAACACTGAGCTAGGTGAATTTAGCGGTAAGCTAAAAGACTAAGGAAATTGATAGAATCAAGAGATAGGAAGGTCCTTTAGGAGACACAAAGAGGGGACCAGCTCAAAAAGGTTTTGACAAACAAAAAAAAAAAAAAAGGGTCGAGAGACAAAGCACAGCCCAATACCTTTCCTTAGTACTAATGAATGCCCAAGGTAAGGCCTCGGGGTACGGATACAGGCAGACCAAGACCACCTCAAGGAGCTAAGACCACCGCCGCTCTTGGTGGGGAGATCCAGGGTTTGGCTGGCGGGGAGCTTCCAATTTGTAGCGGCGCAGGTGTAGCTCTCCGGTCGGTTAAGTTGAGTTTATGGTGGGTGACGACGTGCACTGTTTGTAGCAGAAACATTCATTAGTAGACCCTTGTTTGTTCAGTTCTTTATTACGGAAAGCTACGATACGGTCTAGTTTATCCTTTTGTCAAGCGGTAAGCTCGGTAGGGCTAGAATGATGATATGATAACGTGGACAAAGAGGCTGAGTTCCAATGAGACAGCCATACCTTAGAGTATCTACGGTAACTTGAAAGGAATGTCTGTTTGGCACTTTTGTATAAGATATTCACAAGCATGTGTCCTACTCGAATTGCGTTTCAGGACCCATCACCAGATAGTTTCGCATGAATATGGAAACTTGGTTTAATGCTTGTGAAACCATTCTCTGAAACGACAAACTCATGAGCCTTTCTTATCATGCATAAGGAATGCCACAAAGTTCCAAACCCGTGAATAGCAATCAGGAGATAACAAACTAAAATATGTGCATTTCCTTATTCCCACCGTGTAGCTACAGTTACATACACTGGAAAAGTATTTGCATCTGCTGTAAGTTACCTTTCATAGTCCTACAAGTCCTAGAGCCCCACCATCAAAACACCTCCGATTAAAACCGCATATCGGAAAGCGGTCAATATCTGTAACGTCAAGACCCTTAATAATTAGTTGCCGTTAATCTCAATGACTGGCAAATCATATTCCTGATGTGCACTTTCATCATCCAAGCTCAAATTAATGGTCAGGGTTACCCTTGAGGGTGGAATGACAAGGGGTCTAGGGGCCGTTAAAGGCTGAAGTGTCATGATGAACTTGCTCTTGGCGGGAGAAGTTCCATTTTATGACGATATATCAATGATTCAACAAATAGCCTCAAATTTTATGTACATGAACATCAAATATGATATGTTAGAAATATTGACTTTATTAAGCTCGAAAGGTTTAGTGCTACTCCATCTTCTTCGGTATTGCCTTTCTGGCTACCAGCCCTACCGGTCATGCAAAACACCAACATCCGATTGGTTCGCCAACATCGTGAAGCATCGTGAATTAACATCACCCAAAAAACGCTATGACGAAAAACCGTTCAACGTTCTGCTTCAACGAGAATGTACAGTTTTATTATAGTAGTATATGATGATAAGCTTTATATCTATTTTACATCTTGTCATGATCTTCGAATCATAAGTAGCGCAATACTTCCTGTAAACACAGCTCCAGCTAATGCGCCCTCCAACACCAATAATGAAACGTCTCGCATGCGAAGATCTATCCGTCGCTCGCTGTAGATATCTTGTGATTTGGCTCTCCACCATTCTGGATCCATGAGAGCTTCTTGCCATGTCCTCGTAGGAGGCATTTCTCGAAGAGGCGCTTCAGCCGCTGATTCAAAGGCGGCAACAGGTTCCTGGCTGGCTTTTGTATCATCCACCATGAGGCTCTCACCCGGCAACACGTTCTCTGACGCCACGGCTTCAGCAATTGCCTCGGCCTCAGTCTCTGGGGTTCCTTCAATCGCTGACAAAGACTTTTGGTTCTCGATAGCCAGCTTGACCTGTTCTAACTCACCACGAACCTCCTCGAGAACAGCCTTCTCCTCAGCCACAACACCCCTGACCAGCCTCCTTCTCTTCCAGGGCTCTGCCACGAATTGTAGGATAACGAACAGAAGGAAGTTCATTCCCATCAAGCCCCAGGTACCCCAAGTACTTGCCCGTCGGATGCGATCGCTCCAAATCTGTTCTTCATGATAGCGTTTCAGGATTCCGGCATTGAGCTGTTGGCTAAGCCGCTGCTCCTCCGTCTCAGCTTCTGTTAGAGCCTCTTGGGACGATGCGACCTTGCCCTCCAATGTATGGTCCGCTCGATATAACTCGGTAAAGCGTTCAAGATCCATGGGAGACCAGCTATCCTTCCGCGCCAATAGTGTTGTGACTTCACGTTGTGTTGTCGCACGACTAGCGTTCGACGTCTTGTATTCCTGACGAGCCTCACGGACCCGCTCATGAGCTGCTGCAAGGTCTGCCTCTAGCTTGGCATTTTGATGCTTGATGGCCTCGATGTCTGTATAACCGGTAATATCGTTGAGTGTTTGCGAGGCATTCATTGCTCGGGATTGCAGTCTATCCATAGCACCACTAAACCTCTCCTTTAATTCGTTCATACGGTTAAGGGTAAGGTGTCGTAGGTTTTGAATACCTGATGTTGCTTGTGATTGGGAGGATTCATCGATAGAGTTTGCAGGTTCTGTCTCGGCCTTGGGTAGCTCGGATTTTGTGTCTTTAGGTGCGGCGCTTTCGGAAGTCGCATTGGTAGATTTGACGTCTTCCAACTTGGGTATATCGCGAGGCGGTTGAAGCTCTTTGAAAAGGTTTGGCCGAGGTTTGAGTATGGATTCAAGCTCATCCTCGACATCTTTATTTGTCCTTGAGCTCTTCTCGGAATCTCTCGGTGGTCGCTCTGTCGAATAGAGTCTTGCTCGAGGGCCAATGGCTTGAAAATTGCATCGGATACATATTGTTGAGCTCTGCACTATTGACGGTCCCCAGCAAGACCTGCCTGGCCTCGTGGATCGATCAAGCCCAAATCGCGCATGGCTCCAGACAAGCCGAACCGCAGGACGAGCAAACGGCTGCATTGCGACCAAAGGAAGCGTATATAGCAGCGGCGACGTCGTGGGTGGACGAATGGACTTGTGGCTCGGCAACAATTGTTGAGATGATGGAACGAACGCATGGGCCGAGCCGAGAAAGCTACAGCCGGCTCCGTAGCCGGGGTGTTTTCTGCCGTCGGAGCAAGGCCGAATAGAGTCACCGCCTTTCTCCCCTCAGCCAGGGTCCTTGCTGGGAAACGCTATTGAGTTCGACCCAGGGTCTTTGGGAGCTATATTCCAGTGCAATTACAGGGAGAACAGGGTGTGGAGGAGCACTATTCATGTCCTGCAGTTCCTGAGAGTCATGACAATGACGACAGTCAAGTCGAACCAAGCCAAACCTTGGTCAAAGCGGAAGAACTGATAACGAAAATGCGGTGTTTTCTGTTATGTACAGTACGTGATTGATATTGCTACTCATTTTACTAGTAAGGATCCTTCAATATCAACCTCCAATCAGCTCAGCCAGTTTATAGCAGGTGTTTCTAATTTCCTGTCGATCTTTATTGTCGTGATTATTTGTTTGTCTCTCATGAAAACTTGTGCCCCTCCCCCGCCATTTTCTTGCTCTGTCATATCTTCTCAACAACATCGTCACTTTAGAATCCAGTTCTAGAGATATCCAATTCACTCACTCTTTTCATGAAACTGGAATAGAGTGCAATAAGGATCTCACTGAGTCATCAAAATACTCAATAATACACTACACACCGTCATCATGGCTTCTTCCGATACCCCAGCTCTCAAGAACAATCCCAAGTTCATTTTCTTTACCGACTTTGACGGAACAGTCACCACCGCCGATTCTAATGACTACATGACCGACAACCTTGGCTTCGGTGTTGAACGCCGTCGCCAGCTTAACAAGGACGTTCTTTACGGAAAGATGCATTTCCGCGACAGCTTCGTTGAGATGCTTGATAGCGTCAAGACCCCTTTCGACGAATGCATCCAGATTCTTCTCAAGAACATTAAGCTCGACCCTGGCTTCAAGGAGTTCTACGACTGGGCTCAGGAGAACAATGTTCCCATTGTCATCCTTAGTGGTGGCATGACGCCTGTCATTCGAGCTTTGCTAGACACTCTTCTTGGTCCTGGTTGGGATATTCAGATTGTCAGCAACGATGTGAAGGCACGAGAGGGCAAGACTCTTAAGGATGAGGGCGGCTGGCAAATTGAATTCCATGATGACAGGTAAGTTCCTGTTGATCTCTAATATTGTGAATGAGCACTGACTTTTGCAGTATTCATGGCCATGACAAGTCTATCGAGATCCGAAAGTACTCTTCTCTTCCCAACCGACCTACCATGTTCTATGCTGGCGACGGTGTTTCTGATCTGTCCGCCGCTAAGGAGACCGATCTGCTGTTTGCCAAGGCCGACAAGGGTGAGTAAAATATCAATATTTCCAGCATTGGTTAGCAATTAATAACTCTTCATAGACCTTGTTACCTGGTGTGAGAACGAGAACGTTCCCTTTGTCACATTCCGTGACTGGTCTAGCATCACTCAGACTGTCAAGGACATTGCGGCTGGTACCGTCTCTGTCAAGGATGCTGCCCGTGGCCGCATCTAATTTGGTATGAATTATGACCCAAAAGAAAGAATGAAATGTTATCTATGGTCAGTTAAAACATAAAGGATAGACTAGGTGCGAGCCATCTACGGAGATCACATAGATTCATTATAGATTTTTTTTGAATAGACTTGGCCAATCTGGATCGAATCAGTCCGCTGTACAATTTGACCTTACTAACATTCCGTTTGTTCATTCATTCTCCATTCTCCTATTCCTTCTTTTGGTACCGCTTGTCAGTCCGTCCTCTTTTCCTCAGCTGGAAGAAAATACCAGCACAACAACATGACAACAAACAGGAAAATCACAATCGGATGAAGGACAAAGGTACCAAATGCCTGAGCCAGAAGACCCGTAACGAAGGGCGCAATAGCTCCGCCTGCACTATCGCAAGCATTAATGGTTCCAATGCCAGTCAAAGCCTCCCGTCGACTCATGCCTCGAAGGAAGACAGCCGAAGCGCATGGGTAGATAGGTCCAAGGAGAAGACCCACGACAGATACTGCAATGGTGTTGCCCACGATGTTAGGAACGAGCCAGACGAGAAGCTGAAAAGCAACGGCTCCTAAGATGAGGCCATACACAAGCGCCTTCTCGCCAATTCTCTGCGCAGGGGCAGAAAGGAGGAATCTACCGATGGTGATACCAGCCCAGAAACCTGCTGTTGCATAACCAACTGAAGAAGGGTCACCATCGCGGTCGTTGATGAGAAAAGAAATGACCCAGCCAGAGATAGAAACCTCAGCTCCCTGGTAGGCAAAGATGAAGAGTGAACCAAGAAATACGATCCGCAAATTCATCGCAAGAAAGGTGCTGTTCGATATCGAGTCTCCAACTTGAGCCGTCTCTCTCTGGCGCGCCGTAGGACTCAACTCCTGTTCGTATCTCCAGAACGACCACATTCCTAATGCGACAGTTAGAGCTCCGAGTACACAGGTGATAATATAGTATTTATTCCACACGGTTTTAGCAGCTGTAACGAGGGCGGTCGCAATGAGAGGGCCGATAGTAGCCCCTATTCCGTAAGTCCCATGCTGTACACCCAGCATGAAGGTTCCGTTCTGAAGCCCACCACAGAAGAGGTTTCCGATGGCCACATTGATCGAGATGCTGAAGCCAATAAAGAAGAATGATAGAACGACAACGACGAAAGGGGCTCCGCAGATGATGGGGATATATGCCAGAGTGACGAGGGTCTGGCCCAAACCAAGAAGTCTGGCTCGACCGAGTTTTGCTTTAAGTATGTCTATGAATACGGCCGCTGCAATGAATCCAATGGCTTTACCGACGAAAATGAGAGATACAGTGGCATAGCCAATGTCATAGTACCTAAAAACATCAGCTTCTGCCGTATGGCGGCAAGGTTGTTAACATACTTCTCCATATAGGGGATCAAAGCACCAGTAGCACCATCGCTAAGGGCATTGTTTATTTGGGATAGACAGGTAGAGAGAAGCCTGAAGCGATTCATGAAGGGTTCCCAGATAGTTGTTACAACTTCGACAGTCTCAGCATTCGGATCTGGACGATCCGGTTGACTCATTTCTAAGTCGTCGCCATGGTTGGAAGATGCATTGTCTGGTTTCTCATCATCTCGGACTGGTAGAATCTCGAGGTCAAACGATCCTCTCTGGGCTGAACCAATATGTGTTCTCGAGACAGTCTTTGGCGGGGCTGTCAATGGACGAGATATTCCTTCGTTTGGGGGCTTGGTAAGAACAGGCTGGACTACTACAAGGCCTGAGAGCAGCGAGGTCTCCATGATGAATGAACACTAAGTCAACCAGGGCTGAAGGACCGGATCGATATTAATGGATGATCAGGAGAACGCTCGACCTGATGATATAATAGATTTCAGGGGTAACTGAGTATTTGAGCTTGTCCACGACGTCCAAGGTAACTATTAATACATATTGTCCTTTAGCAAATGATCATGAATCTGCACAATGTCGACTTGAGTCATCCGGCCACCCAGGTCTTAACATCCCCACGAGACATCCTAGAGAGTGGAATGCCTCTATCTGGTAGTTTTTGGAACCGTGACATGCCAAGAAGAGCGACGAAGAGGGCAATTAAGCCGAGTCCACCTTGACGAAGTCGTACGGTTTGATATATAAAGCACGGACTCATATCGAATTGTACCGAATAATTTACCCAGGTGTCATAGAAAGTATACTATACCAAATGATCATGCTGTAACTTATCATTTGCATAAGTATAAGAAATCGGGACATGTAGTTCTCTAGCAGTAAACATGACAGGAAATCATCTTGAGGCACTGACAACATGTACATCATTTTTGACTATTGTATTAATGGTGATTCAACTTCATGATAAAGAGGTTGGTTCTAATACCACATTTGGTAACAACCCCAACAACCCACCATTTGTTGAACCGTTATAGCAACCAGCAGCCGAGCAACATGTTACTTAAAATACCATTACAATACGACCAGGAGGATAACTTATAGCCCGATATGGCAATTTCACAGGATGATGTTGGTATCAAGATCGGACGTTCCCAATCAAGTAAGTCCGCTACCACTTAGAAATCATGATGGATAGAGCAATACTTGGAGTTTGTTCTGTCTATCAAGGTATATCGTTCTATCGGTATCTGCCCCTCCAAGTAACCCCTCCATATTCTTAATGTCTAGAAAATTCCAAGACAAACTTTTGCTAAATAACAATCGACATAAAACTTCACAATGGGACGTCCTAAGCGAAATGTTCTCGCGGCCGCAGAGGCTGCCCTGACACCTCCAGACTCTCTCGAGCCTAACCAATCTCTCGTTCGCGTTGTCAAGCCCGAAGGAAACAACCTATACACCTGTGAGCTTCCAAACGGCAAAACCCTTGTACTGGAACTGGCACAGCGATTTCGAAACACCATATGGATCAAGCGCGGCGGGTTTGTCTTGGCTGAACGATACGAGGACGGCAAGGAGGATACTCGAGCCGAGGGAGAAATTGTCAATGTTGTCCGTGACGAGAAGGCTTGGCGCAAACAGCCATATTGGTGAGTTTTGTGGTATCTATTCGTATTAAATGAAATAGGCTAATCAAGTCTATCGTAGGCCCAAAGAATTCGTCAAAAACACATACGACATGAGCGACTCCGAGGACGAATCCAATGTCGGAAAAATGCCCCCCAGTGACTCCGAAGATGAGTGAAAAATGCACTTCTAGATCCAGATCTATTTATTCTTATCATCAACGTTCCCGACTTTGGCTGCGGGAGCAGGGACGGCACGTCTGGCTGTTCCCAGATAGACCAACACAACTGTCGCCAGCATTGTGTTCACAGCGATGGTTGAGCTGAGGTCGGTGCTTGGATAGACGTTCCAGGCCCATTCCTGCGCGACCCAGATAATTGTCACGATGACGGGGTCTTCGGTGGCTCGCCAGAGGAGATAGGGTGTTGCCCAGGCGAGATAGGCATAGAATTGGTAGTGCAGCGACCGAGCGAACAGCAGACCAATGAGGTTGGCGGTGAGCATCGTTGTCATGACATACTCAGGGGTGACGTAGTGGGAGATGCGAAGCTGTTCCTGCATCGTGAACGGGGACTTGAGTCGCAAGAAGGAGGGGATCAGGTCGTAGAGAGGTCGTCCAGCTGGTTGGATCCATCTTTTGGAGATAAAGATCAAGAGCACCAGAACGTGGCAGGCCAGAAGAGATAGAGCAAAATACTTGCTGAGGAAGACTTCCTCGCCCAACATGCGCCAATTGACCGTCCATTTGAACTGAAACTGTCGTGACAGCTCAAAAGCCCGAGCCGCATACCCGCGAGGGTTCTTAGTGATAAACGGAACTCCAATGACGAACTGAATCTGGGCCATGAGCCATGCGAGACGAAGGCTAGGCCATAACCCTCTGCCCAGAAAAAGGATGACACCAATAGCAGGTAGGACGAGTAACAGCGACATCTTGATTCCAAGACCCCAAGAATATACTAGACTTCCAACGGTCCATTGTCGGCGTTGGAAAAGGAAGATGGTGAGCCATAGGAAGAAAACGGCGAAGCAGTCGTTGAAACATCGTAGGACGAAGAGGCTATGTAGTCGTTTCGAGGCGATTAGGAAGATGAACATGTACGGAGGGACCTAGAATTGTTAGCAAACTACCTGAAATGGTCCAGGACATTACTGACTTTGGCTTTCCAGTAGCAGAGCATTACCACTGTCAACGTAGCCATATACAACACAGCAAATATTTGCTGAGCCAGAAGAATGTTCGTGCCCTTGTCCGTGATGTAGTAGAGCCCCGTGTAAGTGTAGACATGTGCCGCTGGATACACCAAAGGACCAGTATCGCCCTCCATCTTGGTATAGTCTCTCTCTCCCGATACAAACTGCGAGATCTGCTGCATGTACGCAATCCAGTCGATCTCAGTATCTATTCCACAAAATTAGCTTCATCATGGGAGTCTGGAAATTAGACGCCACGCACATGGGATCTTCCATATGATCAAGCCACAACCAAGCGCGTCGACCAGCCAGAGCGCGATAGGGATGAGCTTAGAGAGCGCATGGCGGCCATTGAGGACGTTTCTTAAGAAGCGCACGCCCTGGCTTAGGGCGCCAGATGCAGATTCTGGCATTTTGGAAATGGAGAATGTGCTGACTTGTGAAAGGAGGAAAGGAAAGCTTCATGAAGTTAAAACAGGGGTTCAAGAGCTTGGAGAGCTACGTGTGGGAAATGCGGGGCCCCGCGATATGCATATTCTCATATTCTCTACTGGCCAACTTCAATTCTTATTAAAGTCCAACGCAGTCATAAGAATGAATAAATCAAAGTATTCATTAATATCATCTTGAAATCGCTTGTTTAATTTACAGCTTAGACTTGGCAGCTTTGCCAACCTTGTCAACAATCTCAACTACACCCTCAGCACAACCATATGAGCCTTGATATCCCCAGCCAGAGTGGCCATAGTTGTGTACAATCCACGTCTCATCGTCCAACTTCTCCTCCTCAAGTCGAAGTCCATCTCGTCTCCAAGGGCGCAATCCAACAGCATGTCGAATCACATTCAGTCCCTTAACGCCCTTACCATCTGCGACCTCTGGGCGTGCCTCAACGATGCGCTGCATGATACGCTGGGCGATATTGGGGTCTGGTTGAGACTCCCAGTTGCCAATATCGTAAGTTCCACCCAAGATTGTGCCGCCACCAGCTGCTCGCTGCATGAGATACATAACATCGGCACCGCCATCCTCAACTCCCGATGTGATAAGCATAGGTGTGCTCTCGTTGCGCACCAGCACAATCTGTCCGCGTGCAGGCGCCATAGTCTCATCCTTGACACCGCCCAGCTTCAAGGAGCCCAAGCCTGTAGCGTTGACGATAATGTTGGGAACATTGCCTGTGTGGCTCAGCTTCTTGGCCTCGCTGATATCGGCCAAGACACCTCTCTTGAAGACAACGCCGTTCTTCAAGCATTGACCAACAAGCCAAGGAAGGTAGATAGCAGTGTTGATGCAGACAGATGTGAATTCGCAGCCTGAGTCGTAACCGCGAGTGACTTCATCAGGGTTCTGTTCTCGGAAATCCTCGAAGATCTCCTTATACCAGGGCTCTTCCATGAAGAGAGCATCAGGGAATGTTTGGTTCTTTGCTGCCTCTGCGTCCTTCTTTCGTCTTTGAATGTGGCATTCTGCTAGATGTTAGTCCTGTGTTTTGCTTAAGAGTAAATGTGGTGACGCACTTTGGAAGTGAATGCCCGCCTCGGGGACTTGTTCGCAGAGTTTTTTGAACTCTACCCATGTTCGGCGTTCCCATCTGCTGCTTTCTCGTGTGGCCATACTGCAGTTTGTGAGCAAAAATGATTACTACATGATGGATCAAATCACATACGGGCAGACGTTGGCACCAGCAAATGGCGAGGCATATTCAATGTCATAGTCACCGGGCATATGCTTGCCCACGACAGTGACCTTGTTGCCCTTGTTCTTGGATAGAAGGTAGGCTGAAGTCAAGCCAGAAACACCAGCACTTTCATAGTATCAGCTTCGTTCAGAATAGCTTGTGCTACAAAGACTCACCCAACGACGACAATTGTGTTCGCCATTTTGATATGTCACGTCTTTCTTGATAATTGGGTATTCGGTGTAAATCTTCTCGAAATGGAAAAGTACTTGATTGAACTGAAGACTAGACTATAGAGTAGAGGTTGTCACATCAACTTATACGCCCTCTCATCGGTTCCCAGTTGAAGCCCCGATCTCTGAACCGGCTAATTGGCTCTCGTGATTGGTTCATCGACGCGGGGCCGCCGAAACCGGGACCGGCTCTATCACGATGGTAACATAAGAAGCAACGTCAAGATAAGCCTGTCACAATGGCTTGAATTACATATTGATCAGCCAATCAATTTGTTTTGGAAGCTCTTGCCGACCTGTCAAATGTTTCTTGGGCGTAAATGACACTCGCCGGACGGTCATATGCGCACGGCGGCCTTCCACCTCCGTCATGGTCCATACTGGAAATAGAAGGCCGTGAGAGAACTTGACTAACTAGGTATTCTATGGCATTTGAACCATTTCTAGCCGAAACCATAGAGTTGTGGTGTAACTGCCGATCAGTATAGACTCACGAGCTCAAACGATTCTTGAGAATGATATACCATAGGCAGACACCAATAACCCGTTGTACAAGTCTAACTATGCTAATAATACACAGCTGTTTTCCTTTTTTCGGCAATGTAAACAGATTGAGTCTATCGCTATGACCCTCCTTGATAGTTTCACAAAGTGATATGAGATGTTACAAGATTTAGACAATTTATGCAGCATGCTTAGCCAGCATCGACTGAAGGGCCTGAGGGTTAGCACCGACCAACTCATCAACCTTGCTTCCGTTCTTGAAGACGAAGAAAGTTGGCATAGCGCGAACGCCGAGCTCAGCGGTCAAGTCAGGGAGCTCATCGACATCGAACTTGACGAATTGTATGTTGTCTGAAAGAGCCTTCTCTTCGGAGAGCCTGAAATCTCAATGTTAGCTGTCCATTCTCTGAGTAGTAGTGTATCTTTCGGGCCACTTACTTGTTGAGGATTGGAGAGATGGCCTTGCAAGGACCGCACCATGTGGCGAAGCAGTCAATGAGAACAGCCTTGTTTGTTGTAGAAACAAGGTCCTTAAACTCTTTCGTTCTATCAGATCAAGTTAGTAAGACTGTTTCAAATCCTTCATTTCTGCTCTCAAGCTCACGTCTTGATATCTTGTACAGCGAATCGAGCAGCTGTGCTATGGAATGGCCGGGCAGCGAAAGAAACAGCGCCGGATCGAGCAGCCTGGGCGACAGGTCGCATAAGACGGAAAGGAGAGGCCATTATATAAGTCTATAAATGTGTCGCTTATATGAGTGGTATGAAACTTGAATGAGCATGAGAGGTCTGGATTTCTAATTGTTAGCTCTGATGGCTCTTCATTGGGTGGAGTATGATGACTTGATTGACTGGCCAATCATATTATGATGACACAAAGTTCATGACTGATCTTGGACGTTTCATGATAGAAACTCAAAAGTTTCATGATAATGTTTTAGGGTCGATATTGCGCTTTGACGATGCATCATATGCTCATAGAGGCTTATAGTACTCCGTACGTTGGATGTAATGGCATTATAGCCGGATAGTACAGGAAAGTATGGAACAATAGCCTCAGCTCTAGAAGCTCTCAAGAGCCATGTCCAACGCTTGCTTTATGTTGATCAAGTCAAGTTACAGAGGCACTAAGCAAGGAATCTACATATTTTACACAGACTTCATTAACCCATTCCTTCATGTCAGTCCTCACCCAATGGGTTAATTCGTTCACCTAATCAGTCAAAAACAATGGTTTAAGAAGAAAACATACAGCAGAGAGCCCTGGGGTCGTTCGGTACGAAGCTAATACTTTATGACAACTGATTTTTCTTCCGTTTCAGTTGATCAATGTACTAATCCATCGACCAAGTATTTAAACCACGCAGCATCATCTCATTCTTGTAGATGTGCCACACCCAAATGAATGCATGGCATGATAATTTCCACATTCACAGCAGCTAAGCTAGTTCCCGAGATCTACAGCGATCATCTTGTAAGTAATTACTTCTTCAACTGCCGAGACCACGGACATAACTTATTTCATGCACCTAGGGTTGTGGATCAGACCTAATCTTAATATATCACTTGATGTGTGGTGAAACAGCTTTTAATCTCAGGATATTGTTCGATCTGGACAATTAACCTACCAGCTAACAAACATTTACATCTTCCTCCTCTAAGGTGGACAGACACATGTCCATCGTCTTGTCCACCCCATTCCCTTTGATGTTCATTGTGCTATCGCATCGCAAGATCTATTGTTTCATGCAATCAACCACTCTCGCGCCAAGCTCGATCCCAGGCTTCCAGTTTATGTGTCTGGACGCCCAAGTGCAAAAGCAAATCCCAGTTGCTCAAATCAAACCCTTTTTACCGCCTCCCATAAACCCCGGCTAGTAGAAAACAAAATGCTCCCCTCATCTCACAGACAAGATAAGGAAAACGACACCGGCTTCCCAAGGAATGACAGCGCCCAATGGGCACGAAGAGGGACCGGTCAAGGAGACTAGCTCCCTCACCAATAGTTGGTAAATCAAACACGTCGAGTCTCCCAGCACTCTGTAACTGGCGGTCGACGCGGGGTATCAAAAGGTGCGGTATATGTAGTCGAGAAAAGAAATCCTAGCAATGAACTTGGAATGCGCCGTAGTCATCAAGGTCGTGTCATACATCAAGAGCAAGTCCGTTCCCGGTACCGTCCATGTGATAAGCTGTTATAAGAGTGTTGCATCGTCATAAGAAGAGTCTTCGCTGATTTTATTGTTTTCCTCTTTTTTGTCGATTTTTCGTTGTTGATGAGAATAGTGATAAGGAAAAGTGAAACGAGTGACTTAGGTTAGTTGAGACAGCAAGGAAACAAAAGGAGTGAAAGGTGTCGTCTGGTCGACATTTGTTATGTTGCGAGACTCTTCTTCTGAACGATCAAAATTAGTTTAGCTTTCACATGGCTGGTAGGACGTGACTTCGTCGCCTCTCTGAGCTCCCTGTGGCATCAACAGATGGCCGAGGAGTGATATCGAGTAGTTTAGCACTTCCAGCGCTAAAATTGCGAACGTGACCTTTGCCTAAGTTGACGCTTCTAGCGCTCTGAACGTTGACGAGCTCTTGCGATGGAGATACGGGTGATGTTGGGCTCTCTTCATCCTCAGATTCAAGCTCCAGGAGTCCCTCGTGGCTCTTCATGGTGAATCTGTGCACAACTTGGGGCTGAGAACCAACTGCGCCCCATTTCATCTCTCCATTGTTAGCAAACTCTTCTTCGTCGCTGCTGGGACGTCCTTCGCCGGAACGACGACCCATGAACTCAGGATTCGAGTTTCTTCGGGGAGTGAGCTTTGTTAAATATTCATCCTCGACAATCTCCAAGTCTTCTTCTGTGCTGTTCGTCGGGGAATCCGTGTGGGCGTCGTTTTTCTCACGCTGATTAGCCCTTCGAATGCTATCTCGTATGGCAGCTCTACGGCCGCTGGCATTACCGGAAAGCCAGGAACCTTCTGAGTCAATCGAGGCGAGTGACATGGACATGCCAGCTTCTGGGGATGGTGAAACAAATGCTCGCTCCACTGTCGACGGCGTACGGCGCATGGCCTCGGCGGATCGGTGGCCGGATGTTGGTGTGTCATAGCACACGCCTAAGGACCTCAACTCCTCCATCTCACGAATCTTTTGTTCGGTGAGGATGGGCATGGGGGGCTCCACTTCGGGCGACTGAACGCGTGAAGCGGGCGGTGAGAGAGGTAACTCAGGTAAGTCTTCCCGGAAGCGAGAACGCGTCCTCTTTGGGGCGCCAATGCTTGGTTTACGGGATAGATAGTTACCGCTTGAAGAGTTGGGCGAGTCCTCACCCTCGAGCTTAGCGAGGGCGTAGGCTTGCGCCTGTGCTCTTGACTGAGCTGCGGCTGCCTGCATCTCCTCCCTGGAGGTATTGGCAAAGGATGATGGTCCTTGATGTCGTTGCCGTTTGCTTCCAATTCTCAGGAATGCTTTAATAGAAGCAAACCCATTTTTGCTGCCATCAGAATCATGAGAGTTTTGTCTGGGCATATGAACATCCTCCTCGTTGATGGTCTCAGGTGGCGGAGAAACCATCCTGTCTCGGTCAGATCGAATCGTCGACCTGGATCGCGACTTAGCCGATCTCAAAAGATCAGAAAACCTTGTTCCAGGAGAAACGCTTCCCATGTCTTCAGAGGGCTGACGCATCGATGAGGTGTCCTTTGTGATGACTTCTTCCATAGGTGTTGGCTGCTCGGAGGCGGCTGTGTCTGTGCGATGAAAGACCTCCTCAGGCTTCTTTGGAGCCTCGGCTTCCCTTTCGTCATCAGTAATATCCATGGGCTCTGGATCTTCAGGCTTGGTTTCAGTAACAACAGCGGAAGCAGGGTCGATCCCTAATCCTACGAGTTCACGGCCCATGACACCTCTCTCAAGATTCTCTGGCGGAGGAGTGCCTGTGTTCCTGGCCTGTATTTGCTCCGCCTGTTGCTTCTCTGCTCTTTGTGTGATCCGTCGCTCCATCCTTTGTCTCTCTTTCTGCTTCTTCAGCTCTCGTCGTCGATTATCTCTTTCCATGAGTTCCCTAAGATCGCGGGCGTCGAGGTCGTCAGCAAGGGAATCGATACGCCTGTGTGATCTCATCGTCTCTTCCGGAATTGGCTCCTGCTCGAGGAGCTTCCTCCTTAATGATCCAGATCTGTGAGGTGTAGGTACATGGGGAGTCGTCCATCGGGCGTTCGGGGTATAGCGAAGCGTAGGTCGAGGCGCAAGAGCAGCAAGAGCAGAGACTCTATACGAGCCAAACTCTGAATCAGACGAAAGACTAGAGTGTATTGAGCCGGGTACTGGAAGGGAAACGTCCGAGTTGCGACCGGCTCGATGCCTCCCAAACCCCCCGGTTTTTGATCTTTTGGAATCCTTTTTCATGGGCCGGCCTGAATTCCATTGTTCCGTAGCAGGCCGGACTGGAGCAAAACTACTCATTGCTTTAATCTCGGCCTCTCTGTTGCGTTCTTCTTTCCTCCTCTTACTTCTCTGTTTTCTTGTTGGTTGGTGGGTCGGACGAAGCGTGGGTGTGCGATCCCAAGGATCGGGACGTTCTTCAAGGTTACCAGTAGTTCTTGTTCGGCCTGTTCGCTCACGGACTGGCGAGCCAGCGCGGTGTCGGTCGGTACGAATGTCATCCTGGCGTCCCGGGGAGAAACTATAGGTTCGAGCAGCTCGCTGGAGCTTGGGTGGTTCGGTACGTCGTTTCTTCAAACCAAATTTGGGTCCCTCGTTATGAGGCAGCGGCGCGCCCTCTGCATCTGAGAAAGCAGCGCCGCTGCGGGAGCGCTTACGGCTACTCCGGCGCCGGAATGGCCAAAGGGCCATGGTTCCTAATTCGTCGCCAAACGCTGGAGCTAGTAATGAGCAACCAATATCGTCGCCGATGTACAGTCGAAATCGTCTAGATTATATCGGGTATGCGAGGGCATCGTGGAGTCGTCAAAACGTTCGTACCAAGCTGGTCATCAGGAGAAGCGAGTGTGAGCTGCAGGGTCGTGTCGAACGGCTCGCTGCGATGGTGGGCTCGATGGCCGCAACAAAACGATGTAGGATCGAAGAGGGCGCGTAGGTAAGTAAGTAAGTATTGGAAGACAAGTACAGCTGCTGCAGTGGCAATCGAAATAAGTGGTGATTGTGTATGGATGTGGATGTAAAAGAATGCAAGTACGCGAGCGAGGTCGTGGTTGTCGTAGGTGTTTCGTGCGTGGCGAAACGTGTGTGGTGGTAGAGTATCAAGGAAGCAGCAGGTGCTAGGTAATTAAGGTAAGTGCAAGGAACGGCAGGTGCTGGGTGTGCGGACTCCGGGGGGGGATCATGGGTGATGGAAAGAAAGACCAATTTTTCAGGGCACCGGGGGGCCGGCAGGACAGGGAAGGAAGGGAAGGAATGGGTCAATGGGACAAGCCAATGACTTGGAGGTAGCTTCCCAGTTGCGGCCAACGAGATGCTGCAGGTTGAGTGGGAAAATCGACGTCAGGCTTCGGCGGAAGCAGAGACAGACGGGGAAGGGCGGGAAAGGCCCACAGTCATTGAATTGTGCTTTGCTTTTGGTCTGGCTCTGGTCCCTTGCAAACTTGAAAGTCCTAACGGGAGTTAAGGGCTTCAGTGTGTACACGGTACGTACCTCCTTTTTTTTTAAAGCGTACCAGAAGGACATCAAAAGCCCCCAAATACCCCCTGGTCGACGTGGCAAGGGTCCCGTCCCTCTGGAGCCCTTTTCAACGGGGCCTTTTAGAGCAAGTGGAAGTGGATCACTGTAAAAAAGGTCTCATGAGGTAGCAGTACGAGAATCGTTAGTGGATGTAGGCACTCAATAAGCAATGCCCAGTACCAGTACTTGCTGGCGGGGACTTCCAGGGCGTCGAGGGGCACGCTTA